GATTGCTGTGGATAGGACTTCCAGCACTATGTTGAATAAGAGTGGTGAAAGCAGACATCCCTGTCTTGTTCCTGCTCTTAGGAGAAATGGTTTTAGTTTTTGCCCATTGAGTATGATGTTGGCTGTAGGTTTTTCACATATGGCCTTTATCATGCTGAGATATTCTCCCTCTATTCCCACTTTGCTGAGAGTTTATATCAAAAATGACTGTTGGATTTTTTCAAATGCTTTTTCTGCATCCATTGATATAGTCATGTGATTTTTATCTTTCAATTTATGTGATGTATCATGTTTATTGATTTGTGAATATTGTACCAGCCTTGCATCCCTGGAATAAATCCCACTTGGTCACGGTGTATGATCTTTTTGATATATTGCCGCATCTGATTTGCTCATATTTTGTTGAGGATTTTAGCATCTATGTTCATCAGGGATATTGGCCTGTTATTCTCTTTCTCTGTAGTATCTTTATCTGGTTTTGGGATTAGGGTAATGCTAGCCTCATAAAAAGAGCTTGGAAGTGTTCCTTCTTTTGGATTTTTTGGAATAGTTTGAGGAGTATAGGTGTTAGTTCTTTGAATGTTTCATAAGACTCCCCCTGAAGCCGTCCAGACCAGGGCTTTTGTGTGCTGGGAGTTTTTTGATTACTGCTTCTATTTCATCCGTTGTTATTGGCCTATTCTGATTCTTCTTGATTCAGTTTTGGGAGATTGTATTTTTCTAGGAATTTGTCCATTTCATCCACATTGTCCAGCTTGTTGTTATATAGTTGTTCATAGTATTTCCTTACAATCCTTTGTATTTCTGTGGTGTCAGTGGTTCTTCTCCACTTTCATTTTTTATTTTATTTATTTGGGTTCTCTCTCTGTTTCTTGATGAGTCTGGCTAATGGTTCATTCATGTTGTTTATCCTTTCAAAGAACCAGCTCTTGGTTTGATTGATTGATTGATTGATTGATTTATTTATCTCTATGTCATTATTTCTGCTCTAATCTTTATTATTTCCTTCCTTCTAGTTCAGAGGTTCTCAACCTTCCTAATGCCGCGACCCTTTAATACAGTTCCTCATGTTGTGGTGACCCCCAACCATAAAATTATTTTCGTTGCTACTTCATAACTGTAATTTTGCTACTGTTATGAATCATAATGTAATTATATATGTGTTTTCTGATGGTCTTAGGCGACCCCTGTGAAAGGGTTGTTCGACCCCCAAAGGGGTTGCGACCCCCAAAGGGGTTGCGACCCACAGGTTGAGAACCGCTGTTCTAGTTACTCTGGGTTTTTTCTGTTGTTCTCTTTCTAGTTTTTTAAGTTGTAAGGTTAAATAGTTTATTGTTGATTTTTCTTGTTTTTTGAGGTATGCCTGTAGTGCTACGAACTTCCCTCTAAGGACTGCTTTTGCTGTGTTGTAGAGATTTGCGGTTGTTGTGTATTCATTTTAATTTGTTCCCAGGAAGTTTTTAATTTCTTCTTGATCTCATTGGTAACCCATTCATTGTTTAATAACATGCTACTTAGTCTCCATGTGTTTGAATGTTTTGGGGTGTTTTTACTGGAGTTGATTTAGAATTTCATTCCACTGTGATCTGAGAAGGTGCTTGATATGATTTCAATCTTTTTGAACTTGTAGAGACTTGTTTTGTGTCCTAACATGTGGTCTATCTTTGTGAATCATCCATGTGCACTTGAGAAGTATATTCTAAAGCTTTGTGGTGAAATGTTCTATAAATGTCAATTAAATCCATCTGATCCAGTGTGTCCTTTAGAGTCATTGTTTCCTTGCTAAGTTTTTGTCTGGAAGATCTATCCAGGGAAGTCAGCATGGTTTTAAAGTCCCCTACTATGACTATATTGTTGTCTATCTGTTTCTTAAATCCTCTAGAATATATAAAGCCGTGACACTGAGCCTAGACTTATTACCCGACCTAAGTACAGTTTCCACCTTCTCCAGGAACGTAATCTTAGTCAGGAACTTTCTGGTCTGTGCCAATGAGATAGTTGTCACTCTGTGAGCCCTCTCCATCCCCCAAAGGAAGCTAAGGTAACCTGCCTGATGAGACCCCCGCCTACCCCTGAAACCTTGCCAGAAACAATCCTTTCTTCTCATTCACTAATAACTTTCTTGTCCCATCCAGTTTCTACCTATAAAAACCTTCCATTCTGTTCAACTCCCGGAGATGGGATGCTGCCCAATTCATAAATCATTTAATAAAACCAATTAGATCTTCAAATTTACTTGATTGAATTTTTGTTCTTTAACAGTCTTTGAAAAGACATAATATTACTTTCCTCACCAATATGACATCAGCATTTTTCTTTACAAGAACTTTGAGGGCTTCCCAAGCAGATCTAGGGGGCTGGAGGGGTGGGGGAGGCGAGAAGGGGGACCCAGGCCACCACTGTGTTTGTGAAATGAGTACAATGAGCATGTAGAGCTTCCTAAGCAGCTCCTGTGCTCAACACATTAGGGTAAGTCAGTGACTTCGATGAGCAGGTGCTACAACGAGGCACAGGGGCCAGGTTCTGTAGGGCGGGAGCTTGCATTATTTGGAGGCGATCATCTATAAAAGAAAAAGAATACAACTTACAAATGCAAAAATAGATATAAATGAGAATATTTGTTTAGAATGAAAAAAATCACTCTAAAATACAAATTTTTAAGAAGATAAATACCACAAAAATCACAAAACCTAGAAAATTACATATTCTTATTAATTGCCCCACCCAGCTCTACAATACTTTTTCTAAATTTGGTATGACTTGTAATTCTGAAAAATATACAAAATCCATCTGAAATGGAGGCAGTCGTAGGAAGAATTCAAACACACTTAAAAACCCCTGCCACGTGTACTGGGCCACCTACTAGTAATTGTGTGACAAGATGCCTTTAGTGCTACAACATGGGCTTCCCCCTGAGTGTGTAGTTCTGTCACCGGCACACTCGCTCCTTCAGACATCTCTCTGTGTTGGTGGCAACTGTGCATGCCATTCTGCTGGAACCAGCAGATTTTGCCGGGACCCGAGGCCTCCAATAGACTAAGAAGCACTCTGTCACATGGGATGCTTTACTGTGACATCACATACAGTGCTCGTGTGGTACTGTTACCAATTTGGACCCACAAACACAAGAATTTTTATCAAATTCCAGCTTGTGTAATTCCCACTGGGAGAGAAGACAATGTTTGTTATGTTCATAACTACACACATTCACTATCAGCTGCTTTCCTCACAGGAAAGAGCTGTTTTGCCAGCCTTGAGAGAACCAAGTCCTCTCCTGGCAATTTTATATATTTTCACTCTTCTGTTTTTTTAATTTATAGATTTGAGAGAGAGAGAGAGAGAGAGAGAGAGAACGGAGAATGTGCGAGAAAGAAACATTGATGTATTGCTCCACTTATTTATGCATTCATTGGTTGATTCTTGTATGTGCCCTGACCGGGGATCAAACCAGCCACCTTGGCATATCGGACGATGCTCCAATCAACTTAACTACCCAGCCAGGACCTGGCAATGTTACTTGTTTGATCTTTGGAAGGCTCTTCCCGACTAGCTTCTGGCTCAGTGTATTTCAAACCTTATTTTTCCTCCTCTCCCACGTGCTTCCAGCAGGGGGCACTGTAAGACATTCACACCTGATGAACTCATGCTGCAACTGTGTGTCCTGATGCAGGGCCAGTCAGCACTGTGGGTGATAAGTGTTCCTATCCAGTATGACTGGAGGTAACTTGTCTATGCAAGGAAGTAACTGTAAGCTACATAAATAAATCCCACTAAATCCAAATTAAATGCTTCCCCAACTCATCTTCCTCTTAGCTGGATCCCCAAAATGCACACAGCCACCCAACTGAGGGGAAATCAGACAGAGAAGCGCTGGAATGGAAAGAGACAGAGGTCTTAACCACCTGTGGTCAATGTTCCTTTTGCGTAGACCAGTGGTTCTCAACATTGGCTGCACATTAGAATCACCTGGGAATCCTTTTAAAATCCTGATTTCTGGGCCTCATCCTCTGGAAATTCTGTTGCTTTGTTACTAATGTTGTGGCCCCACCCCATAACAAAGAAACAGAGTTTCCGGAGGATGAGGCCCAGAAATCAGGATTTTAAAACTATTCCCAGGTGATTCTAATGTGCAGCCAAGGTTGAGAACCACTGGCGTAGACTACGAACATGTTGCTGCACAGGGAGGGGCCCTGACGCTTCATCAGCTTCTTGGCAAATATGCCCCTAGACTGGAACCAGGAGCAGGTGCCTGCGATGTGTGTGTGGGGGGGCGGGGCATAGGATGCTGGCATTGCCTCTGAACCAGCCAAAGGCAGCAGGCCTGGAGCCATGAGCCAGAGTTAGACTCAACCCTGTGCCCAAGCCTCCTTGACCTCACAGCCCTGAAAACAGGGAGGGGTGACACCACCTGCCAGGACCGCTCTGCAGTTTAAAGGGAGGATTGGACAGCTCTTGGTAAATCAGAGCTCTGGGCAAACGCCAGCTGTTGCCCTGGGCCAGTGTCACAGTGCCCCCCTCCCCTTGGGTGCAGAAGGACTGCCTTTTTTAAAGCAGGAGCGTGGGCTCTGACCCCTCATGGAATGGGCAAGCCCTGTCTTCTGAAATCAGAGTAATCCTTCGAGGTCACTCCTGCCAACCCCCCCCGCCCCCCTCCCCCGCTGTCAGCCGGGGGATTAGAGGAGAGGCCAGAGGATTAAGGGGTTCCTCTGTCACAGCCTCCCTGCCACAGTCAGCCCCTCTCCTGAAAGCCTGCTGGTCAGGCAAGGCGAGGCTCCTCTGTCGCTGTTCTCTGCGGGACAGAGAGAAGCCCCTCTCCCACTAGCATTGCAGACAAGACCAGACTGAAAGCTGGGAACCCCAGGCTTGTCAGGACCCAAAAAAGCAGAAGGCTTGGGGCGTCCCAAGGATCTGGCCAACAGGCAGAGCCCATCCTGACCACAGCAGGAGCACAGCCCGGACCTCCCAGGCCCCACCCAGGCCCCCGCCCCACCGGCAGCAGGATGCCCCGCTGCCTGCGGCCCTCACTGCGGAAGCCTGCAGTCATCCTGTGTCTGCTGCTGTCCAGCACCTCTCTGTCCCCCACGCGGGGGCAGGCCATGATTCCTCTGGAAACGTAAGCATCCAATTCAGCCCCTCCCCCATAAAACCCTTTCCCCCTTCCTCCTTTCCTTCCCCCTGGCAGACCTCAATCCTCTGTGCCTCCCACCTCCGGTCTCCCTCCGGCTCGCCCCCGGGGGCCACGTCCCCTTTCTGGCTGTGAAGACCTTTTCTCCACCCTCCTCTCTTCCATTTGGGAGTCCTGCCTGCCTCTCCCCAACCACCTGCCGGTTGTAAGCTGACCTGATGGCCAGGCTCATGCAGGCCTCTCCTTCCAGGATAATTAGGGGCCTGGGAGTGTGGGCTGTGCTGATTTACATTATTGTGGCTCCCCAAGGATTTGTCAGGAAGTTGTTTTAACTTTCTGGAAGGGCAAGCAGTTCTAAATCAACCAAATGGCTCGTGCAACCAGGAACCAGGTCAAATTGGACTTTGGTGGTCTCGGTCTTCCCTTCCTATGCCTTTCTGCCTTCCTCCAGGCCCTGGCACTACACCCTGTCATGAAGACCTGGTGTCAGTCATTTACACTTTGGTATACATTTAAATTACTATGCAACCCCTCTGGGAGTGTGTGTGTTTAGTCCTTGGCTCTGGTGTACCTACTAAATACATTTTCAATAAATGAGGGGAACAAAACGCTCTACACTGCACCTGCCCACTCCCTTGGCACCAGGTCTCCACCCAGGACCTTGACCCCCTCCTCTTTCCCACCCCAAAGCCCCTCCCTCTCCTATGAAGCCACACCATCCCTCCACTCAGCCCTCAGCCTCCAAAGCTTGCCCTGCTTCTGCCCTCCCAAATCTGCTCTCACCCAAGTCATCAAAGACCCTCACTGCCCAATCCAGTAGACATTTCTGGACTTCTCTCTTTGGACTCCTCGGACACTGGCTTCCCCCTTTTCCTTGAGTCTCCATGCCTCAGCTTTCATAACGCTGTGCACACCTGGGCCTCCTAGGGCATCTGTTACCTCTGTCTTTGTCAGGTGCTCCTGCCCCTGAGATTGGTGCTGGTGTTCCCCAGGTTTGTCAGCCACTCAGATCTTTTCATGCTCTCTCTCTCCTTGAGAGAGCCCATCTGCGCTCAGAAGTTCAACCGCCATTCATGTACTAATGACTCTTAGCCCTGCCTCTATCTGTTAGGCTCATATATCCATTGCCTGTGGACAGCTTTTCCCGGACATCATGTGAGGTTTTAAATTCAAGTTTGTGTCTTTCAAGATACAAAGTGATTGGTACTTTCTGGAGTTGGACAATGCACAACCTGCCCAACATCATTCTGCAACATAGCTCTGCAGCAGAAACCTCCCATTCTGCGTATCCCAGGCTACATTCATCATCTTCCACCCTCTCCCGCTTGCTTCCATGATCCTTCTGATATTCATTTTATTTAATAACACCTCATCAGCTCAACCGCCCAAGCTAGAAACCTAGAAGTCATGTTTGTCTCCCCAACGCTCTTCTGTACTCTCATCACAAATTCTCCCCAGTTTCTAACACTGAACTCAGATCCCACCTCCCCCAGGAAGCCTTCCCTGACCACCACGGCCCCTCCCCAAGTCTCACTGGTGTCCCTTCAAACAAGTAGTGTACTATCTGTATATGAAGGGGCATCCCTCTAATGCAGCGGTTCTCAACCGGTAGGTCTCGACCCCTTTGGGGGTCGAACGACCCTTTCACAGGGGTCGCCTAAGACCATCGGAAAACACATATATAATTACATATTGTTTTTGTGATTAATCACTATGCTTTAATTATGTTCAATTTATAACAATGAAAATACATCCTGCATATCAGATATTTACATTATGATTCATAACAGTAGCAAAATTACAGTTATGAAGTAGCAACGAAAATAATTTTATGGTTGGGGGTCACCACAACACGAGGGACTGTATTAAAGGGTCGCGGCATTAGGAAGGTTGAGAACCACTGCTCTAATGGAAGGTCTTACAAAGGTGAAGACTGTGACGTGGCTCCAGGACTCTGCACAATGCCCGGGATGCAGGACATGAGTAGATGCTGGTTGAGTGGCTGAATACATGCTGATCTCGAAATGATCATGTGGGCAGACTCCATTTGCTCCATCTGGAGAGGCTCAGACTCAGCCTGTGCCTGCCCCCAGGCCCCTCCAGCCTGTGCAGATGGTGAGATCTCCATATCCTCTGGGGACGGACAAAAGGTCAGGGTTTCTCCAGAGGCTGCCTGCATCAGGGTCAGGTGTGGCCTCTCCTGCCCTCACTGCCTGGCCCACCCTCTGCAGAAGCAGCTGGGAGCCTCTTCCTCTGCCCCTGCTCAGCATGCTCCCTCTGAAGTTTCAGCAGGATGCAGCAGCCTGCAGCGACCTTGAGCAGGGGACACTGGAGGGGAGTGGCTCACTGAGAAGCTGCAGCTGTGCCCAGGCAGTTCCTGTGTCTATCCTCAGGGTCCTCCCTGCCTGCCCCGGACCTGTCCACAGCCTCTTCCCCTCCTCTGTTCTCCATTCCCGCCCACAAACCACAGCCCTTGGGAGCCTGAGGTCAGGCTTCGGTTCTGCCTCATTTGCCCCTGCCCCTCATCCCTCAGCCAAGGGCATTCAGCCCGCTCTGGGCCCCTGTGGGTCCTCAGTCTCCTGCCCTGCCATATGTGTCCTTCTCGGTGTGTGTCAGTGTGTATGTGTTTGTGTGTACATGTGTGTTAGTGTGCGAGTCTCTGTGTATCATGTGTGTCTATGTATTTGTGCATGTGTGCATCAGTGGTGTCTATGCATTAGAGTAGACACTTGTTTTGTCTATGCATGTGTGTGTGCATATGCATCTATGTGTGTGTCTCTGTGTGTGTGTCTCCGTGTGTGTGTGTCTCCGTGTGTGTGTGTGTGTGTGTGTGTACACATGTACTTTCATGGCCCGGCAGAGTGAAGCTGTGGGCAGACACCTTTGGCGGGAACCTGTATGACACCGTGACCAAATACTCAGGCTCTCTCTTGCTGCAGAAGGTGAGTAACACCTCCCAGGGAGCTCACAGGGCCTGCGGGCGGTCAGCCAGGGAGCCCTGCCAGGGAGCAGAGACCCAGAATCCCTGCATGTTCGGGCTGTGAGGGGTCTTAGCGATCATCTAATCCAATCCCCTCATCTTCAGACCCGGAAACTGAGACCCGAGTCACAGAGCAAGTCAGGGGGGTGGCCAGGAGCACAGTGTCAGCTCAGATCCCGGGAAGCGGAGGTCAGGATGGAACCTGACAGAGGACAGGGATTTACTGAGGGAGGAGCTGTGAGGAACAGAGGGGTGAGGGGGCAGAAACAGCAGGCTGGGGGGCAGGCCTGGCTCCTGTGAAAGGGGCGGGGCAGAGGAGGAGGGGTGAGTCCTGCAGGCACTGCTTGGGCAGCATGAGCGGGCCTGTGGCCTCTGTGCTGGGCGAGCTCCCGCTCCTCTGGTTCTCAGGGCTCCGGCCATGTCTGGGGGCTGCAGAGCCACAGGGGCCCCAGCAGAGGTCTGGGCCGCGCCTGGCTCCTGGGCAGGATGCAGGGGCCGACGGAGAGGACGGGGCACCAGCAAGCCCCACTCCCCTGGTTAATTGCTTTGTGTGCAGATTGACACCTAGCCTGTCCTCATGAGATTATAAACAACTTCATTTCCCTCTGATATTTATAACTCCCAGAGCAGTTTTAATAATAGCTTGCCGTTCTCTATTATTACCATTTGCTGAGAGCTTTATATTCAGGGTCTTACTTTCACTACAATTCATGAGGTGACTACGACATTTGCCATTTTCTAAATGATGCTAAAAGCAGCTCTCAGGCTTTTATGCCAGCATGTGACCACCATGCAGCTCCTCCCTGTCTCCCCTTCCCACAGCCCACAGGAGGGAGCAGGCGGAGCCAGGGTGCCCCGCCCCCATTCAGGGACCTCCACAGGCCACTATAACAACAACAGCGCAATCCCACTTCCCACTCACTGCCCTACCACACTCCTACTCTGCAAAGCACCATTTCGTTCTGTGTTCTCATTTGTGCCCTCTAACCCCGGTGAGAAACATAGAGCAATCCTATGTGACTGGGGTAAAAACATTCTCTAAGTCTATGCATTCTAGAACATTCTCTAAACCATGTTAATGTCACATCTTGCAGATGAGGAAACTGACTGAGTAACTTGCCTCAGGTCACGTGGTTAATAGGTTGCTGACCTGAGCCTTTAGACATTGCTGACACACACACTCAGGAAAAGATGGTCTCCCTTGGGCCCAGAGAGTGAATTTGAATCCAGCTCTCTGAACAGTTTGTCAGGCGGCGTCAATCCCCATCACTGCTGAGCTTGGTCTGGACAGGATGCGCATCGTGGGCGTTGGGGGGAGAGGGGGAGAAGAACTGATGCTCAGGGCAGCCGCAGTCCACGTGAGCCGCCCCAGGGAGGTGGCAGGCATGGCTGTACAGAAGTCTCAGAGACCTGGCTGTGTGACCTTGGTCAAGTTCATTGACCCTTCTGAGCCCCAGTCTACTCCCTCTTAAGGACATTAACTGAATGTGTCCAGAGCCCCTGGAACAGACAGGACATGTGATAAGAGGCAACCATTGTCGGTCGTGGGGAGATTACGTGAGGAGGAGGGGGCCTGTCCTGCCTCCAGCTGAGTAAGCAAGGCCTCAGGGTGTGAATGAGCTGGCCGAGAGGACGGAGGTACCAAACCTCCTGGTGCCGATGCAGGTGTCATCTCTCCCACGTTCCCCTCCACAGAAATACAAGGATGTGGAGCCCAATCTGAGGATCCAGGAGGTGGATGGCTTGGAGCTGGTGAAGAAGTTCTCAGAGGACATGGAGACCATGCTACGCAGGAAAGTGGAGGCTGTGAAGGTGCTCAGGCCCTGTGATCTGGGGGGCGGGGGACTCTGCCCAGCCCGTCACACCAAAATGACCCTCAAAATGATGCCATGGCCCTGCACCCATATCATTCTTTTCCTACCTCACGAGCATCAGCCTAGCATCCCCAGAAGCCAAAAGGACCTTGTAAAGGAGGAAACGATGGAAAGCAAGGAGGGAGGGAGAGCTGGGATTGGAGCTCTGCCTTAGAGAACAGCGTCCAGTGCAATAGGACCAACCTGCAGTGTTGGGGGGACTCTGCATCATGACGTTATATTCAGTGACTGGCGCAGAGCAGGAGTGAAATGAGGGCTGAGGAGCCGCTGGATGGATGGATGGATGGATGGATGGATGGATGGTTGGGTGGATGAATAGATGGGTGGGTGGGTGGTAATTGGGTGGAAGAGGATGGGAGTATAGAGGGTTGGAGAGCATACATGGGTGGATGGATGGTTGGGTGGATGGATGGATGGGTGGATGGATGGATGGGTGAATAGATGGATGGATGGGTACAGACCCACCCTTCATGGATCCCAGTGCTCTGAGGGCTGCCCAGACAGCATAGGTGCTTATAGTGAGGGCCTCTGCTCAGGTGATCCCACCATGGCATACCCAGCATGCGCCACATCCTCTATCCAAAGGACCATCTGGGAGGCATCCTGTGTAAAACCGCCGGGGCCTTCTTTCCCGCGTTACAAGTTGCAGCCTCTTTTCTCCAGGCTTAGGGGCAGGCATCTTAGCATCAGGAACCACTGAGAAGACACTTGGGGCCTGGAGATCCCATCCTGGTGGAAGCAGAGGGACACTGACCCACACAACCAGCACAGCAGGACCACCCACTGCCTTCAGTGCTGGGATGCAGGAGCGCACCACTGCGGGGCTGGTCCCCCTGGGCTCCCTGGGGCTCCAGATGTGCTGTGTCCTTCTCCCAGCTTCAGCCTCAGAAAACCAATCAAACCAGTGCTTGCTCTGCAGACCTTCTCCAAGCACCAGGCCCTGCTCCCTGCTGGGGGTCCCGTGGGGAGGACTCAGCCACGGGCCCTTCTATGGGAGTGTCCATGGGGACCCTTGCTGCAAAGCAGCACTACAGTAACCTTGGCCCTGTGGAATTTCTTCATCACATCCTAGGAATTGGGGGTTGGGAGTAGGGAAGTTGGAGACTCTTCTACCCGATTTACAGTTCTATGGAGACCAGAGAGGCCTAGTGCCTGGCCCCAACAAAGCCAGAATAGGAGCTCAGCTCTTCTCCTCTTTCCCCCCACATTTATTGAGGTTTACTTGACAAAAACAAAACAAAACAAAAAAACTGTGTATATTTATATTCAGCAGCTGAAAGGTGGAAAAACCCAAATGTCCATCAACTGATAAATGGATAAACAAAATAAGAGATATCCATACAATGGAATGTTATTCAGCCATGAAAAGGAATGACTTTCTGCTATGTGTTAAAACACAGATGAATCTTAAAAACATCTCTGTGAAAGACTCCAGATATAAAAGGCCACCTACTGTGTGATTCCATTTGTGTGAAATATCCAGAATAGGAAAATCCATTGACGGAAAGCAGATTATGGTTGCCAGGAGCCAGGGAGAGGGGAAGGAGTGACTGCTTGGTGGTCACAGGGTTTCCATTTGGGGGTGATGAGAAGTTCCGCAACTAGACAGTGGTGGTTGCACAATATTGGGAATGTACCTAATGCCACTGAATTGCACACTTTAACATGACTAAATGGTATACACACACACACACACACACACACACACATTTAAACAGACTATTTAGAGCAGTTTTAGGTTCATAGCAAATTTGTGCAGAAAGTACAGAGAATTCTTATATAACCTCTGCCCCCACAAACATACAGACCCCCCAACTATCAGCAGCCCCACCAGAGTGGTACATTGGTTACAATAGATGAACCTACACGACACATCATATCACGCAAAGTCCATAGTTTACATTAGGGTTCACTCCTGGTGTACATTCTGTGGGTTTTGACAAATGCACAATGACATGTATCTACCATTATAGACCATGCAGAATAGGCACACGGCCCTAAAAACCCTCTATTTTACACCTATTCATCCCTCCCCCCATCACCAACCCCTGATGACCACTGATTTTTTTACTGTCTCCATTTTTGCCTTTTCCAGAACGTCATTGGTTGGACTCAAGCAGTAGGTAGCCTTTTCAGACTGGCTTCTTTCACTTGGAAATGTGCACTTATCTTTTGGCTATTGTGCTGCTGTGAACATTTACACACAAGTTGTTGTTTGAGTCCCTGCTTTCAGTTCTCTTTGGGTATATTCTTGGGAGTGGAATTGAGGACCCACTGGTCTACTTCTGCCCATTCATTCTCCCCTCTGTGTTCCCATCCCTCAGAATGTGGTAGAGGCGGCTGAGGAAGCTGACCTGGACCATGAATTCAATGAATCGCTGGTGGTGAGTCCTCCTGCTCCTGGAGCTGCTGCTGAGAGGGTATTATGGCCAATCTCCTGCCCCAGGATGGACAGTGTCCCCTGAGTGCAGGATGGGGAGGAGTGGGGGGACCCGGGGGTCCAGCACTACCTTTTAATGTGCTCAGGATTTGTATGATCCTATAATAAGATTCTGAAATGCTCTGGAGTCCTTTGAGAAGGGATTTGTGGGCCAGGTAGGAGAGACAGCTACCAAAACCTGGGGCAGGGGTGCAAAATGGCAATCACTCTTCCACAGACTTCACCACCCAATGCTGTGTGCTAGCCTCTGCCCAAATGAACTCAAGAAGTCCACAGACCAAAAATCTCTAGCATACGGCCCACAGCCTGCCCATGCACCTGGTACCACGTTCCCACAGTGCAGAAGGGAAGGGGGGGTCAGAAAGCCCCCAGACAGAGTATCCTTGGCACCAGCCCAGGCTGAGGGGGATTTGAGCAGCTGAGGGCATGAAGAGGGTGTTTCCAAGCTGAGGGAAAAGAAGTAAAAATACACAATATTGAGGAAATTGCCAGTGCTCAGCTCTGTATGTCCAGGGACGGTGAAGCAGAAAGTGACGGTGGTAACGGTAGGACTCTGGCCTTTATTCAGCCCGCAAGTCACATATTAAAGGCTTTGAGCTTGGAGGGACACAGCAGATTTGTGGCAGCACTGCTGTGGCATGGGCAGGACATGGGCAGGACATGGGCAGGACATGAGGGTGCTCTTCAGGTCTGAGCCACGTGGTGTGGAGACAGTGGGGAAGAGGGTCTGGTTATGGCTGCAAGGTGGTAATCCAAGTGGATCCAGCGCTGTGTGTAAGAGCACAGAGCAGACTGCTGGCTCCCCAGGGTCACGGGGACACAGGCTGCAGGCTGTTAAAGAGAGAACCCCCACCTCTTGGGGCCCTGCCTGGGTCCCCAGGAGTGTCCGGCACTGAAGAAGCTGGTGGTGCTGGCAAGGCTGCCTTTACCTCTCCTGGAATCTGTCTGCTTGTCTCTGTCACCATCTCTGGCTGTGTCCACACATGATAAATAAAGTGGAGAACTGAGCAATAATCCAGAAAATCTATGTCAAGCTCTACTTGAATCAACCACCTGCTCCAATGATCTGGATATGTATTTGCCCTAAATCCGAATCCTGTGGGTCATTGCCTGCACCCCCCAGTTGGAGCTTGTGTGGACGCGGTCAGCCCGCCTGAGGTCTCTCACATCTGAGTCCTCTGATTGCACCGTTTCTCTTTCTCTCGAACTCGGCGGGTCTTTGTCCACCGGCCCCTGTCTGGCCCATTCTCCGCCCTAGTTTGACTATTACAACTCGGTCCTGATCAACGAGAGGGATGCGAGGGGCGAGTACGTGGAGCTGGGGGCTGAGTTTGTCCTGGAGCCCAACGCGCACTTCAGCAACCTGAGGGTGAACACGTCCCTCAGCAGTGTGCAGCTGCCCACCAACGTGTACAACAAAGGTAGTCCCTGCCCCGTGGCCCCGCGCGGTTGTGGGGGTGGTGCTGGTGGAGGTTAACGATTTGGCCCCATTTTCCCGAGAAGCCCTTCTCCAGCCTCCCTGACTCAGCATGGGGAAGCATTTCACAGGAGCCTGGACTGGAGGAAGCTCGGGGCTCCTGGCTTAGAGGGTGTGTGGCTCTCCCAGTGAAATGTAGAGGGAAGTGTGAACTGCATCACTGCCGGCTGTGTGTGTGCGCGTGTGCGTGTGCGTGTGCGTGTGTGTGTGTGTGTGTGTGTGTTCCCAGGTGAAGAATTGGTCACTGTTTCTCCTGATTGAGTGTCCCTGCAGTTCCTTCTACAATCTCGCCCTTTAGACCCAGATATTTTAAATGGAGTCTACATGTCCGAAGCCTTGAACCCTGTTTTTGTGGAGAACTTCCAGAGAGACCCCACACTGACCTGGCAATATTTTGGCAGCTCAACTGGATTCTTTAGGATCTACCCAGGTGAGGACATGGGAGGCATCGCCAAGATCCTCTCAGCTTCTTCTCTGGGAATAAGGCCACAAGGGTATTGCGGATGGACGCTGGCACTCAGACACCTGGTGAATGGGGTTGGCCCTGACATCCAAAGGAACCTCCAACCCACATTTTGACACTCTTCACGCCATAATATGCACATTTCCAACAAATAGCTGCTGGATTAATTAATTAATTAATTAATTAATTAAATACTATGGTAACCAGCCAGTCAATGCCCGCATTGAACTCTTGTCCTATGAAAAGCACTGTGGAAGATGCAAAGGGGGATAAAACAATTCTTGACCTTAATTGGAGAAACCTTAATTGGAGAAATGGGGCTTACTCACTTAACATGTTCAACCGCAATGTAGAGATGTCCTGGGTCACTATGTAATCAGTGGCCGATCTAACAGACAATGGGGAAAGTTCCCTTGTCTACCACTAGAAATAGAAAACAAAATCTACCATAACATTTGCAAGAGTTCTGTTTTTTAACTTTCTATTTATAAAAAAATTCACCTCCGAATTTTACTCCAACCTACTTTTATATTTTAGCACACTGTTCAAAGTCTTAACGTTGCCCTGTTTTCCTGAGACAGACCCTTCAAATGCTCGAAGACAACTCACAGGTCTCTCAAGTCTTCTCCAGAATAGAATTCCTGTAAATATTCTTGCTACATCAGGTCTTCCCGATAAGTCAATTTGTGTGCAAACAACACAATCCAGTGGCTTCTTTGTAAGCCAACGGTCTTAGTAGAGAGGGTGTTTCTCACACCCTCACCCACATTTATAGGTGCATATCAGCCCTCCGGTGGACAATATGGGGTTGGCTATAATCCTTGATCACAGTACACTATCCCCATGGGTCCTTGCAGGCCCACCGTTATCTATTTTACATATTATTTATAACATAATAATGCTTGTATACACATCACCAACACAAAAATTAAATTACCAATAATTTCTATTTACGTATGTGCTCCTCTATTTCGCCCCCTCTCCCCTCCACTTCCCCTCCATTACCACCCAAGTAATAGCTATCCTGAATTATGAGCCTATCATTTTATTTGGATTTTTGGCTTTCTGTTTGTTTAGTTATTTAGTTTTATCTTATGTTTACACACACATCTGCTTAAACGATATATGTTTTGTTTTGCTTGTTTTTGAAATTTATAAAACTGGTTTCTGATTTAGACTTTTAGAACTTGCTTTTCATTTAATAATATACTACCAAGATTTATTGGGTTGCCACATATAGCTATATTTTGTCATTTTTTTTTCTTGTATCATATTCTTTGGGGTCAATACATCAGTTTATCCATCCTCCTGATCATATCTGGGTTGTTTTAGTTTTGTTTTTCTTCTTTGTTTTCTACTTTTATGAACAATGTTTCTGTGCACATTGTTATAAGAGTTTATCTTAGGCATATACCTAGGAATAGACTTGCTAGATCCTAAGATGTATAACTGTTCAACTATGACAAGAAAGTGCCAAATTGTTTTCCAAAATGCTTTCACCAATTATATTCCCACCAACAATGAATAAGAAATCTGGTTGATGCACATTTTCTGAAATCCTGGGTATTAGTAAACTTTAAAATTTTTTGTTAATAATCTTTTAGTATAAAATGGTATTTTACTGTGAACTTGGCATTGCATTTTCCTGGTCACTTGTGAAATTAAGCATCTCTTTATATGCCATTTGTTGTATCTATTTCTTCTTCTGTGAAATACCTATTATGTCTTTGGTCTAATTATCTATTGACTTTTCTAATGTTAATCCACCTTTGCATTCCTATGATAAACCTAACTTGATTGCAGTAAATTAGTCTTTCATCCATTGTTGGATTTCATTTACTAATATTCTGTTTAGAATTTTTGCATCTATATATAAATGAAATGGTCTTGTAATTTTTCTTTTTTGTATACTCTCCTTATCTTTTTTTCAAAATTATAGTAGTTTCATTGAATAAACTGGGAAGTATTCTCTCTTTTTCTGGTTTCTGGGAATATTTATATAAGATTAGAATGATCTTATCCTTGAAAGCTTGGTGGAATTTATCTAAAAGACCATGCAAGACTGATGTTTTCTCTATGGGAAGATTTTCAAATTACCACTTCAATATATTTAATACTTGCAAGACTAATATGACTTTCTATTTCTTCTTAATTTTGTAAAATACTTTTTCTAAGAATCCACTCATCTCATCCGAGTTTTCAAATCTATTTCCATGAAGCTATTATTCTCTTATTGTCTTTTAAATATCTTTTTTTTCCTTTATCAATCCAGCACTGATTTTTCTATTTTGTTAGTCTTTTCAGGAATCATCTTTTGTCTTCATTGATTGTATTATTTCTTTGTTTTTTATTTTATCTATTTTAACTTTAATGTTATTTTCTTTTTTCCCCCTTTTATTCTGTTGTTCCTCCCCTTAACTTATTAAGTTGGACACATAGCTTTAATTGTTAGCCTTTCTTTGTTTCTAAAATAAGCATTTATGGCTCTACCTTGCCCTTAGAAAGTCCACTTTTACTCTCACAAGTTTTGATTGGTAGTGAGTTTTTATTATTAAGTTAAATACATATAACATAAAATTTATCATTCTGACCATTTTTAAGTGTATGATTCAGTGGCATTAAGTACGTGCACCTTGTTGTGAAACCATCACCACCATCCATCTCCAGAACTCTTTTCATCTTGCAAAACTGAAACTCTGTAAACATTAGGAAAATAACTCACCACTCCCTCCTCCCCAGCCCCTGACATCCACCATTCTACCTTCTATCTCTGTTAATTTGGCTACTCTAGGACTTCATATAAAGTGGAATCCTATAGTATTTGTCTTTTTATGACTGGCTTATTTCACTTAGTGTTATGTCCTCAAGGTTCATCCACATTGTAGCTTATGTGAGAATTTTAAAAATTGAAAAATATTCCATTGTATGGCTATACCACATTTTTTTTGTTCATTCATCTGTCTATGGACACTTGAGTTGCTTCCACATTTTAGCTATTGTGAATCATGCTGCTATGAATATGGATGCACTAATTCCTCCTTGAGACGCTGCTTTCAATTATTTTAGGTATGTACTGAGAAGTGGAATTCCTGGATCCCATGGTAATTCTGTTTTTAATTTGGGGGGAGGGGACTGCCATACCTGTTTTCCATAGCAACTGCACCATTTTACATTTCCACCAACAGTGCCCAAGGGTTCCAGTTTTTCCACATCCTCAACAGTAGCCACCCTACTGCCTATGAGGTAGTATTTCATCATGGTTTTGACTTGCATTTCCTACTCATTCGAAATGTTGAGCTTCTTTTCATGTGCTTGTTGGCCATTCATATATCTTCTTAGGAGAAATGTCTATTCAAGTTCTTTGCTCAATTTTTAATTGAGTTGTTGTTTTCTGTTGTTGAGTTGTAGGAGTTTTTTTATATTGTGGATATTAACCTCTTATCAGACATATGATTTGCACATATTTCCTCCCATTCCATGGGTTTTCTTTTCACTCTGTTGATTGTGTCACTTGATACACAGAATTTATTGCCTGTGTTTTGGTGTCATGGTAATTTAATCATTTACTTCTAAATATTTTTTAAATTTTCCTGTGATTTCATCTTTTATCTTTTAGTTATTTAATAGTGTATTTTAAAGTATCCAAATACATAGAGACTTGCCCTAACCAGTTTTGCTCAGTGGATAGAGCATCGGCCCGCAGACTGAAGGGTCCCAGATTCGATTTCGGTCAAGGGCACGTACCTCACAGGCTCAATCCCCGGCCCTCAGGAGGCAACCAACTGATGTGTCTCTCTCAATGGATGGGTTTCTCTCTCTCCTTCTCCCCACCCCTCTAAAAATTAATGGAAGAAAATATCCTTGGGTGAGGATTAACAACAATAATTTAAAAACAACAACAAAGATATAGGGACTCTATATTTATCTTTTTATTATAAATTTCTAGTCGAATTGCTTTGTAGAGGGAGAACATAATATATGTGGTACTGATTATGTGAAGTTAGTTGAGGTTTTGTTTAATAGCCTAGTATGTCATCAAGTTTTATAAATATTCCATGTGTGTTTGAGAAGAATATGTGTGCTCTAATTGTTGCATGAAAAGCTCTGCATATGTCATTAGCTCAAACTTGTTAATTGTATTATTTACATTTTCTGTATCTTTGTTGGTTTTATGTCTACTTGACCCTGGTTAGCCTTTACTACATTTTGTTTATAGGTCTATTTTGTCTGATATTTATAAGAAATGCCAATAGGCCCTTTGTTACCCTGACATATATTTTTTTATCATTTCCTCCAATTTTGTTCTAGTCATATCCCTTGAAAATAGTCTATAGCTTCTAAACCTTTATCCAAACTGGCAACCTCTTTTACTAGTTGGCAAGTTCAGCACATTTGCATTTATTGTATTGATATATTTAAACATGCTTATCTTATTTTTTAAATTATTTTATTTTAAAATTTTCTATTTGTCCCTTCTTTTTTGTTTTCCTTTCTCCTCTTATAACCTTTTTAAGTGAATAACTTTTAAAAAGTCCCCTGTTATTTCTCTTTTTATTTCTATCAGTTTAGAGTTTACTCCTCTGTTTTTATTCTTTCAATAATTACCCCTTACCAGTCATATTTAATAAGATATTAAAATTAAATCATATTTTTACCTTTTCTCAAGTCAAAAAAAGCTTTAGAGCTTCTCCACTTACATATCCTTCTCCCACCTTGATTTCCATTCCCTTGTCATCTAATATATTCCTTTTTATCTCAAGTTAGATACTATTATACTATTTGATGCAAACATTGCTTGTTTGGTAAGAGCTACTTGTTTACCTTTTTTTGCCCACCACTCCTTCACACACCTCAAGCTGTTCCTCCTTCTTCAGGTGAATCCTCCACAAGTTCCCTTATCGTGCGCTCCTTTCCGTGGTAAGCTGCTTCAGCTTGTGTTCATCTACACATGCTTTATTTTCTTCTCGTTCTTTTTATTTTATTTTAAATTCATTCTTTTTTATGTTTGCAAGTTACACAAATCATTTCCTGTTGTCATCCTATTTCAGCAGAAAAGACCAAATCCTGTTTCTTTTTTATTGGTGATAAGTGACTGACTAAGCCTCCCTTTGATGACACATCCTGAGAAATAGCTCCCAATAAAGAACAGCAGCTCCGGGGAACTCAGTCCCCAAGTGGAATTCCGAAAGCAACACCGCAGTCTTCTATGCTCACGCTTGAGTGACAGTTCTGCTGGATGCACTTCCGAGTTAGCAATTACTCTCTCTCAGCACCTTCCAACTCTTTCCCTCTGCCTTCTGGCTTCCACTGCTGTTGAGAAACTCTGCTGTTGGCTTAACTGCTGTTCCTTTGAAAGTGAATGTTCTCGGTTTCTGGCTGCTTTAAGGTCTTTATTTATTTACTTGCCTTTGGAGTTCTGCAGTTTCACTATGATGTGTCTAGAAAGGGATGTCTTTTCATTTATCCTGCTAGGGATATACCACGCTTCCTGGACCTCGGGACTCGCATTTTTCTCAGTCCTGGAACATTGGCATCTTTGTCTTTGCACCATAGTGTTTCCTTGTGCCCTCCCTTTTCTCCTTCTACGTCTCTGGTCAGACATAGTTAGGGTGCCCCCAAAAAATGTATACACACACTTTGAATAATTATAAAGGCAGTGATAAAAAATACATTTCATTTTCAAAACTGAGCTTTCAGCTGTTAAAGTGCATACATTTTTTAAGACACCCTGTATTAGACCTTCTCATTCTGGCTTCCACAGGATTCTGGAAAAATCCTTCAAATGCCTGAATTTTCTCTTTACCTGTGAATGATCCACATGCTGCTTTTTTTTTTCAAATTAAACATCTTTTTTCAGTTACAAAAGGCCCATACTTTGAAGGCTGTTTGTTTGCTCCTAATCATTTTCTTGTTGTGTATTCTTCCTTGTGATTCCTCCAACATAGCTATCCTGTCATTTGTATTTGGCAGTTCCAACACCTGTAAGCCTTGGGAGGATACACCTGGTGGTTCTTGCTTCTGCTGCCTCTCACTCCTGGGGCCCTGTTTCCCGTGTATTTGGTAATCTTTGATCGTGGGGCCATGCCCCTTGTAATCTGTGGGAATCCTGCAGGCCTGACTGGGAAAAGCTTCCCTTCAAGAGGATCACTTCTGCTTCTGCTTGGAGTTGAGGGTACCCCCACCCAAGACCACCAAAACCCTGGTGCAGAGCCAAGAACCCCCTGTTACTATTATAAGGTCAAACTCCCCACAACCATGCTGCTCTAGGAATATGGCCCTCGTTTCCCCACTGCTCACTGCCGCTGCAGGTCCACGTCAGAGCCATGCTACCCAGGCTCCCACGACACCAGCTCGGCCCGTGGTTCTGTCCTGCTTCCCTCCAGGCCGTGGCTCCTGACTGTTCTGGCCCCTGCCCCCACCCTTGGAACTCTGCTCCTATTTGTTTGCTTTTGGGAGTAAGATCCCTGAAAACCTCTTCTCCTTTTGATGGACCAGCAATGCCTCAAGTATGTATCTCATCTGAAGTCTAACTGCTGTGGAACAGGAGTCCCTTATTGCTTCTAGACAGTCATGATACGGCCATGATATTTTTCTAGCCCAAACACAACATAATACAATTGCACCTCTTATTTTTAATTTCCATACTGTGAGCCCATTCTTTCCAATCTTTACAGTATTTTCAAATAGAGATTCCATCGTGGAGCATGCCAATGTTATCTTTGCTTTGTGTGCATTCATCCAAGTTTTTGATTCGATGAATAGGACAAAATCCACCCCAGCACCCTGCTGGTGGGTCAAGGAAAGATCTTTCATACTCATTCATTTGTTCTTTCGTCCATATGACAAACACTTATTGAGCATCCAGCCTGCGAGGTGCTATGTCAAACACTGTCAGGTACAAGCAGTCCTGTACCACACCACCACAACAAAGTGAGCTTCTCAATAAGGCCAGTCCTAACCTTCTTGGTGGTGGAGGGCCTTGCCTTCAATTTGAAAACAAAACCCACAGCATCTTTGAAGTACCATAAAGCCACGAGCAATAAAATGAGGTGTGCCTGTACTTGGATTCCCTGACCTTGAGGCGCTTATAGTCCTGTAGCCAATCATTTCTCCCAGCCAGCTAACAGGCAGGACCATGGCACTACAGGCAACCTGACTAGAGGCAGAGGGGCTAGAAGTCAGAGCACCTGGCTCTCCCTCACTCTGTCCATGCTTTTGCTGGATGGTGATGGATGTTAAAAGTCATGCCTTCTGGAAGCTTCCCCTTCCACAAATTGATGTGAGGTTTAGCTCACACGTGAGTTCCACACACAACATATCGGGGTCCTACTGTGAAACTCACCTCAACTCTGGGTCTGGGCAGTGTGGGTGATGAGTGTCCCTCCATCGAGCTGGCCCCCCTCCCTGCCTGTTGACTCAGTTTGCAGGGTGCTCTAGTGGCCCCTCACCCTGTTGTCCAGGTCCATGGCTGGCCCTTCCCTGGGGATCATGGCATTCTTGGATGTCAGCACCCAGCTGGGGCTCTGGAGCAGCCTCACTGAGCCAGGGAACGAGCCAGCCTTTGTTTCCCCAGGCATCAAATGGACACCTGACGAGAATGGAGTCATCACCTTTGACTGCCGAAACCGTGGCTGGTGAGCGCTCCCAGGGGAAAGGTGTCTGTGCTGGCTCCCTCTTCTAACCTTTGGGTTTTACCTAGTTCTTCTCCAGTCCCTGACTCCAGGCCAAGGGTCTCAGGTGGGACACAAGGGTAGGAAGAAGGCTCCCTTCTCGCCACGGCTGCCCTTGCTGCAGGGCTGATCACATTTGTCTTTCCTGCCCCCAGCTCCTTGCAGGACAGTGAGCTGCTCCAAATCAACCCTCTGCCAGGCTCTCCTTCCCCCGACTCCCCTCCCCCCCTCGGCAGATTTGTAACAGAATCTGAGGGTGGAATCCAGTTCATCCTGCTGCCCATCCCTCCGGGACCCTGGCCGGTCCAAAACAAAGAGGACAAGGTTACCACAAGACCTTGACCTTTCTCCCACCCGACAGGCTCATTAGATGGGCACATGCCCAGCTGTCGCCCCCTAAATGGCTTCAGAGCTATGCGAAGTGGTCGTGGAACATGATACAACCTAGTCTCAATGGGGCAACTATCTGAACTTTGGATAAACTTGAGCCAGAATCCAAACAGAAATAATGGCACTAGGTTGTGTGGTTGCTCTGGCTTTGGTTTTCCCATCGTTGACCTGTCCTTTTCTTTCTGCTAAAGGTACATACAAGCCGCTACTTCTCCCAAGGATGTTGTGATTGTGGTGGACACAAGCGGCAGCATGAAGGGGCTGCGGATGGCTATCGCCAAGCACACCATCTCCACCATCCTGGACACACTGGGAGAGAATGACTTTGTTAATATCATTGCTGTAAGTGTCCTTCCTTCCTAGAATAGCTCTCCCTTATCTAGAGAAACTTGCCTCTGCCTGCACTGGAATGACCTGTACCTACAACACAAAGCTTCCGAGTGATCTCTCTGAAGCTGGACCTAACCCAGGTCCAAGGACGGACTGCAAGAGGTCCGCAGAGTTTCTGAAGTTATGTGTATGTCCATTTTTCTGAGTTTATTAATTCAGACCAGTCTGGGATAGAACAAAGATGAGAAGCTCTGACCCTGAGTAGACGCCTAACTTATCCCACCACGTGCTCTTGACTGGCGCCCATCGCTGAGCAGCCTCTCCCTTCTGCTATAGGAAGAGAGATCCCTGGGCACCTGCTCTCCAACAATCCCAGTTCTCCCAGGCCCTTCACCCCCAATCCTGATGCACTGGGAGAAAGGAGAAAGTACGTGGGGGCGCCTAGACAGGAACCAACAAACCCTGGTCCTGCCTTCAGAGCAGCTCTTCCCGAGGCTGGCCCTGTCCGCCCCAGGAAGGTGATGGTGGGAGAGGTGCAGCAGGACGAGAGGGGACAGGTCAGGAGAATGCTTTCAATGAAAGAGTGGGCCAGCACAGCCCGTCGCAGAGGCAGAGCTGACGGCCACCGGGGTGCCATTTTGAAGGCTATCTGATCTAAAACTTCCCTCCACCAGCCGCCACATTGCTGAAAATGCTTATCTTTAGTGCAACTTACTTCTCTGGTAAAGAAACACCAAAGCAAAATGGTCTAACCGCAAACCAGTCATCCTGGGGTTATGCAAATGGCGCCTCCTCCCTGAGCTGCTCTCAAGGCCCATGCTCCCACCTCTCCACCTCCCCATCCCTGCCCTGACCTGCAGCAGAGACAGGACAGCCGGGAGCAGTTCCCACCACTTCACAAGAATGGGGTGTGCTCCTGCTCCTCTCACAGAGCCTGTTAGCAGCTGAAAGACCCTCTTCTTCAATGCAGAGCAGAGACAAAAAGAGCAGTGTTTCATCCCCGGACCCAGGCACTGGGGAGGGGTCTGCACTTGGAGGCTGTGGGATTCCCATGGAAGGCACTTCGTCTGGTCTTGGTGGCAGAGACCAGAGGGATTCTCTCAGTAACCTGCAGTTCCCTGTGTGCCCCAGGAGATGGGCAGGACTCAGAAAATGAGTCAAGACCAGAATTTGAGGGAGAGTGAAGGCTCTGCTGTTCTCTGTACTCCCTCCTCTCTACTCAGAAAAATTGCCAAAAGCATAGGGTACCCCAAGATAATGTGCACAGGTGACCCCAGCCTGGACCACTCTGTGAGTTGCCTGAGCTTCATCACTGGGCCCTGACTTTCCAAATGGACCTTGTCTGTTCTCTCCTCCCCTCCCTCCCTCTGCAACTGCAGTACAATGACTACATCCGTTACATCGAGCCTTGTTTCAAAGGGATCCTTGTTCAGGCGGATCGAGACAACCGCAAGGTGAGTGTCCACGTCAGGCCAGGGCCGATGCCTCTTAGCCCCTGTTCTGCCTAGAAGGGTGGGAGCCATCTGTGCAGCTTCCTGGCGGCCCTTTTACTCATCCCATGGCATTTGGAAAGGGGCAAAGCAGGTCTGCAGTTACCCACACAAATACACCCAGGAAATTGACCTCATGAATCCGCTGCCTGTCTATCTCAGCAGTGAACAAAGAGACCTCCCCTGTGAGGAAAATCTCACTTCTTCAGGCCTGGTTTCTTGTTCTGTGGATTATCCAGGACTTGGTTTTCCCCTTGGCTTCCCCTTCGGCCTTTCCACTATGTCAGTTTTCATGAGGAGCTTCCCAAAAGGAGGGGAAATTCAAACCCATTGTGTTGAGTCCTTTCCAAAGGCCTAGGAGGAAAGGATGTGGCAATTTTGTTTAAAGGGAGTCTAGTGTCACAGACCTTCCCTCTGTGGCTGGGGGATTTGGGTTTGGCTTCCTCTTGAATCCCAGCCTTGAGTCGGAGCCCCTGGCAGCCTCCATGGTTTCTCCTGTGAAATGCTTGCCATTGGGGTAAGAGCTGGGATGCTGAGGGCCTGGGAGCCTGGACATTGGCCTGGCCTGGCCTGGCCTTGCTGGGGTTGAACTTACACTGGCATCTCCTTCCAGCAGGGGGGAAAGATTTGCACCCAGCCACTCACAATCTCTCAGTTTATCTTGGGGGCATTGGAGAAACATCTGCTGTGGGGTCAGCTAGACCCTGGAGTGATGGGCAAATAGCTCTAAACAGCCTCTGAAATTAAGACCAAAGATGAAGGTTCCCTGGCCCACTCCATCCACTGACTCTCCTCTGGTTTCTTATCCACTACAGCATTTCAAACAGCTGGTGAGCGAGCTGGTGGTTAAAGGTGTGGGGGTCGTGGACCAAGCCCTGAGGGAAGCCTTCCAGATCCTGAAGCGGGTACTGCACCCGGGGAAGCCGAGGGAGTGTGGAGGGGTGGGAGACAGGCTGAGGTGGGGGGAAGGCAGCTCCCCGCTGCAGTTATGGAGATCCCCTCCCCTGCACAGTTCCAAGAGGCCAGGCAAGGAAGCCTCTGCAACCAGGCCATCATGCTGCTCACCGATGGGGCCGTGGAGGACTATGAGCCAGTGTTTGAGAAGTACAACCAGCTGGACCGCAAGGTTACTCCCTGGTGGAGGTCAAGGGGTGAAGGGAGGGGGTGCCAAGGGGCGTGGTCTCCTACTGCCATGGTGGGATGGCCCAGAAAAGCCAGGCCTGCCCTGAGTTCAAATAGTCTACCCATTAGCCCATCAGTAAACTCAAATGTTCCAAAGCTGTGGTGACTCTAGGCACAGGGGACTCGTGCAAGAGGGATCAGGTGAGAGACCTTGGGGGTGAGATGTGAAAAGTGTCCTGGCAAGTCCCGGTGCTGCCTGGGCCTGGGCCCTTTCTGACCCAAAGGAGCGGGACTGGAGAAGTCGGCAAAGTGCTTGGCAGACATCGAAGGCTCACATGCATTATGTTAGCATTGCCCCGGCCAGGAGTTAGGCTGCTGAGTCCATCTGTGTCTTGTGGATTAGGTTCGAGTTTTCACTTACCTGATTGGGAGAGAAGTCACTTTTGCTGACCGCATGAAGTGGATCGCGTGCAACAACAAAGGTAGGTGGCAGGTGGGCGGAGCACCTGGCAGCCTGTACCCGAGTGCAGGTGGAACAGCATTGCCCCGTCACCGGGGTGCTGAGCGGTGGCTCCTGCATGGGGCCTTGCAGAGGAGCGGTGTCTTGTGGAGATGACAGTATCTGCCCCTCCTTCTCACTTGGAGAAAGCAAGACAAAATGCAAATTGCTCCATAAAGCCTTGATTACTCCTGCAGGGACTCTAAGTCATAAAGCCACTTGAAATGAAACTTAGAGGTCATCGATCCAATGTTTGCAGGAGAGAGAGAGCTGTCTTGCCTCATAGAAACCACAATATAGACAGTGAGGCAGAGGCAGGACTGATGATATAATATAAGTTCTCTCTTGGGTCCAGCCTCCATTCTTCTTGCTGCAAATTAAGCCCATTTACACTGATTCTACCCCCAAACAAAAAGCAGGTGGTCATCATTTTATTTAGAATAGTGTTTTGTGTGCAAACAGTCCTCATCTATCTCTGGCCAGAACCTAAGACCTGGGCCTCAGGTTTGGACCTGGGTTTGGTTCAACCACAATTTATTGAGCACCTACTATGTACCTGGCAAGCTTTCCAAATTGTGGTCAGTTTAGACTCAGTCTTGCTCTTGCAACTGTCCAGCTGGGGAGACAAAGCAGTGAACCATCAATGATAACATCATCTTGAATGCCCTGTGAGGATGGAAGGGCACAGGCTGTACTGGGAGCTGGGGGACAGCGGCAGAGGCACTTCCCCCATGTGGAGGTGACAGGAAGGCTGTCACATAAAGAACTGGTAGGAGTTGGCTAGACCTAGAGAGCAGGGAAGGGGGGCCCAGACAGAGAGAATAGCATGTTCAAAGGGTGAGACAAGAGGCATGTTGGGATCTGAGAGCTGCTCCACTTTACCGGAGTGTGGAGTGAATGTTTTGTGAGCGGTGACGAGCAATGAGACCAGAGAGGTAAATACATGCTAAATCATTCATGGCCTTGTAAGCCATTTGCTCTTTTAATATCACTGTGGCTACAGGGAAGAGGCTATGGCTCCCTCTCCATAGCTGAGGAGGGACAATAGTCAGAGAAGGGAAGAGGCGGGGTTATGACAGCTGTCATAGCCTGGGGTCCCTGAAAGCAGGCCCTGGGACAGAGCTGTAGAGGGGGTAGTTTGGGGGAGTGGAGAGGGGGGCTGTAAGAAGTGAGGAGGGCAGCCCTGCAAGAGGGAGAGGCAGACCCTGCTGAGGCCCTGCTGCTTCTGTGGCAGCGCTAGAGCTGGGGGGGCGGGGGGGAGGTTCCCGGTTCCCCAAGTGGAGACAGGGCTGGGCCCAAGAGTTCCCATCATCAGCACTGGCCCCTCCACCCCCTGGAAGAGGTACAGCCTTGGGAAAAGCAGTTCCCTGTGGCCCAGAGCAGCTCCCAGTGAGGGGCCAGCCAGCAGCCGGGGAGGGTGTGGGCCCTGCAGAGGGGTTCCACTAGAGCAGCCAGCCTCCCACACCACATGGCCCCTCCTCTCCCCCAGGCTACTACACGCAGATCTCCACCCTGGCAGACGCCCAGGAGAATGTGATGGAGTACCTGCACGTGCTCAGCCGCCCCATGGTCATCAACCACGACCACGACATCATCTGGACCGAAGCTTACATGGACAGCAAGGTGGGCCCTGACCCCACCCCAGAGTGAGGGACCCCAGGGCATGAGCGGTGACTTCTTGGGTGAGAAATGGGGGAGGGGGAGGGGCAGATCACATCCTTGGGAAACATGAAGGGAGTGAGCGCTTCACCGTCTAGCAGACCTTCGCCTGTATGCTGCCCCAGAGGCCCAGAAACCCAGGGAGGAGGCCTGTCCAGGGTTGCCCTTCATGGACAGAGCTCCTCTGCTCCAAACTTCTTCCTCCCTCCTTCCTGTTGTCCTCACCTCCTTCACTGTCCTCTCTCCCTCCTGTTACAGGAAAAAGGAGCCCAACCAGTAATTCAAGATCTTATAGCTTCATCAAGTGTCCCCTTCCCAGCCCTGCACTCACAAAGAGGCTGCCTGTGGGCAGCAATGACTTACATGAAGGAAGAGATGTCAAAGGTCAATGTCAGAGGAGATGTTGGGGGACTAGGGACCTTCTGGCATCTCTCAAATCACATCACAGACACCTGCTTCAATGTTGATGCACCAGGCTAGGATTAAGAGGGACCTGAAAATAGTTGCTTAAATAAAAGTGTATTTCTCCCTCATGTAAAGTAAAAGACGTCTAGAGGTGGCTGGCTCAGAGCCTATGAGGAACTCCCTGGTCACCAGGGACCCAGACCCCTTCCTGCTGTTGTCCCCTTAGTCTTCCCTACGGACCTCTCACTCCAAGTGGTTAGTGCAACTCCAGTCAACAGAAACCACTCACTTTTAGGAAATCTTACTTCCAAACTCTAAACTGAAAAATCAGAGGAGGAAGGGGTAGAGGGCTTGATGGTTCAAAGTTCTTCATCCCCAAGGTCTACTGTGGCCCTCCATGGCCAGGCAGTCTCCTTTAGTTGGCCCTGAGGAAGGTCAGACTTATCAGACACGCCTGCGCACACCACTCTTCAGGGCCTGTCTTTGACGTAAAGTGGGGCACACGTGTGGAGCCCCTTCTGAGGGAACCGGAGGAGCCAGCACAGAAGATGAGGAGGCGGACAGGAGGGCCATCTCAGAGGCTGGGAATGATGTGGTCCTGAGTGGAGAAGAGGTTGTGGGTTCATTCTGTGTGTAGGGGGGGGGGAGAGGGGAGTGACAGGAGGCTACTAAACCCACACCATGGCCTGCTCTCGCACTGTGGCCCTTGTGTTTGCCTGTGTCTCTGTGTCAGTGTCCCTCTCCCTCTTAACTGGCCTGAGCTATAGTTTGTGCCAACCTTGGGTCTATAGCAGAGAATTTTGGAAGAGTTCCTGCTGTGCAGAACCTCGTTGTTTCTGGGTGTGCCCGGGATGGGCCTGTTCCATGGACCCACGCTCATCCAAGACAAGGGGGCCTAGTGAGCCTGCTTGGGAGCTGGGCCGTGGGCTCTGGGATTCTGAGACGCGCCCTGGCTGAGTGATGTCCGCCTGGTCCTTCTCCCCAGCCCACCGCTCTCCTCCAGCGTTTCTGCCAGCTCTCCCTTTGCAGAGAAGGGAAACCTCATTTGGGATCACTTCCTCCGATGGAAGGTGACACGACAGTTGACACTGGTGGCGGTGGGTCCTCGCACTGTGGACTCTGAGCCCTCTGTCTTCTGCTCTTTCCTCCCTGCAGCTCTTCGCCTCGCAGGCACAGAGCCTGGTGCTCCTCACCACCGTGGCCATGCCAGTCTTCAGCAGAAAGAATGAAACGGTGAGTGGCCGCTGCCTGAGAAGTGGCGGTGTCTTTAGACCAGCCGTGGGCAAACTACGGCCCGCGGGCCGGATCCGGCCCGTTTGAAATGAATAAAACTAAAAAAAAAAAAAGACCGTACCCTTTTATGTAATGATGTTTACTTTGAATTTATATTAGTTCACACAAACACTCCATCCATGCTTTGTTCCGGCCCTCCGGTCCAGTTTAAGAACCCATTGTGGCCCTCGAGTCAAAAAGTTTGCCCACCCCTGCTTTAGACAAACGGTTCTAGGCATGGCGGCAGCAGGGCCCGTGGGAGAGCTGTGAATGCAGATTCCAGGCCTGTGCCCACCGAGCTACATCAGAGCCTCTTGGTCGGGAGGGGCGGGTGAGGGCTGGGGTTTGGTCCGACTTCCTAAAACTTGTTGGTGTTTCTGCCCAGCCAACCTGGGGCTGTCCCACTGCTCTGCCCTTGGGACCACTGCTTGAGGGATGTAGGACTAATGGGGTCGCCTGCCAGCAAAACCACACTTAACCTACCAGTTTGGGCAGACTGTAACTTGTTTGTAAAGGCCTCTGGTGAGAACATTTCTAGAGCCTTCCACCCTCCACCTGGTCAGGAAATGTGTCCTTACAGGCACTGTGTGTTTCAGACCACTCATACGTTAGGATCCCTGAGATCCGGACCCTTCAGCTTCTGCTATGAAGGTGAACATTTCATTCAACTTTATTTCATTTAAATATTACAACTTAAATATTAATGTTGGACATTAATCTTCCCAGCGGCTGAGATTACTCCTGGGACCTCTCTGCTAGGTTCTTGGTTTTATTCCAGGGAGCACAGCCTAAACTCTAACTGCAGAGGAAGGACCGCATAAGGCCCAAGTGGCTTCCTCTCCCGGGCTCTGGGAAGGCTGGGGTCCAGTCTGGCCCTGGGTTCGGGGAAGCCGGATCTCCCGCTGACCCGGTGTGTTTCCTTCCAGCGGTCCCACGGCATTCTGCTGGGGGTGGCGGGCTCTGATGTGGCCCTGAGAGAGCTGATGAAGCTGGCGCCCCGGTACAAGGTGAGCCTGGGCTGGTCCCTGAGTGGGGGTCCCAGGCTCCCCAGGAGCTGTCCCACCAGGCTCAGGAGCCTCTCTGCTGACAGGGCAGCCAAGCCGAGAGCTGGGATGGGGCCCTGCCTACGGCCCCCAGAGAAGTGCAGGCATTGAGCCTGGGAACAGTGGCTTAGACTCCTGGGGCCCTGTGTTACCACCAGATCGGACTTGCTCTGTGGCCTTTAGCAAGTGCGTTCCCTTGCTGGTGCCTCAGTTTCTCAATCTGCTCCTCCATGTTATCCAGTCCTGTTTGGAGACGAATGAGAGTATCATCAAAGCACCTAGAGCAGGGGTGGGGAACCTTTTTTCTGCCAAGGACCATCTGGATCTTTATAACATCATTCCCAGGCCCTAACAAAATTATCAACTTAAAAATTAGCCTGCTATATTTGGTCAAACATTTAGTTAACTCACCCCTAATGCCTGGGCAGGGCCAGATCAAATGATTTCATGGACCAGACATTTCCCACCCCTGATCTAGAGCATATGGTGAGTAAGAGGCCAAGTAATGATATACATTATTATAGATGGTAAAAACCATAGAATTAGGGGGGGGTGTTTAATATTAATGGCTGGGAGCATAGCACTGGCTCAGTTATATTCCCATCTGAAAACCTCACTGCTGTACGCTGCCATCTTTAGCATCCTGTGGCCCTGAACCCCTTCTCAGCTGCAGTGCTCCAACCCCAACAACAGCTCTGATGTCCCTCGACCCTGTCTTTGTAGCTCGGAGTACATGGATATGCCTTTTTGAACACTAACAACGGCTACATCCTCTCACATCCTGACCTCCGACCCCTGGTAGGTACAGATCTTATTTGTCTTAGGATCTTAGCCTTGTGGGATTTAGGGTGCTTCATAAAACAGTTAAAACACTGAGCACATGCTGGGCTCCATCCAGGAACCCAGTGGGTAATATGTGGGAAAAGAACTAAGTCATGGTCCTGTTTCGAACTGTTCGGAATCTAGCAGAAGAGACAGGCAAAGATACATAACTAATCGATGAAGAGTCCAGTGAGCATGTGATGAAGTGTGTAGCTGTCCCTGCAGGACACAGCCAGCCATGCTCCCGTCACTGCCGCAGTAGCTCCACGCTCCCTCTTGGAGTCCGACAGTGGTATCGGTAGATCCTAAGGGGTGTGAATGTTGAGTTAACAATAAAAATGTCAGAGGAGCTGACTTGTGAGAGTGGGGAGCAGGAGAGCCGAGGCTCCCAGAGTTTGTCTTGGGATGTGTTCCTGAGTGCTCCTGCCTGTTTCCTAGCCCCCTCCATCCTGATACAGGGACTGGGGGTATTTTCACCTGCATTCAACTGAACAACAGGTGGCCAAGAGAGGAACTTCCATAATTTCATGTAAAACTTCTGCCTTCGGGGCCAGGGGCTCCCTACTGCTCTACTTCTGGTCATGGCACTTGGCCACTGTCCATGGCAATAATGGCCACATCTCTCAGTGTGATTGTTGAGGGCATTGAGGGGAAGGGTGTTAAAGTCCTAGAGGAATCTTAACCCTTTCTCCTCTGCCAGTCTTACACTGAAGTGGGGTGACAGCTAAGGACAGGAACTAACAGAACACCTTCCTGAGAACTTACCCAGGTGCCATTTGGAGAGATCAGTCTAAGGCACATTCCATTCCATTTGGTTCCGATAGTTACTGAGTATCCATAAGGCAACTGATTTAGTTATTTAAGGCAAACTATAGGGGTTCAGAGTAGAAAGAGATCAGGGCACACTGAAACCCCCTATGTCTTCCCAATTCAGACTCTGTTGGGCAAGCATATGAATCCATTATGGGCCACTAAGCTATACCAGTGGGTCCTATAAGGGGCAGCCCCAGTGCTAATAAATAACTCACTAGGGAAATAATAAATGTGTTGATCCTGGAGCTAACGTGTAGAATGAAGGGCACTGGTCAGAAATCCATCTATTATCACCTATGTAATCTAGATAAATATAATACTTCAAACAATCAATTCATATTATAGACTTATTGTGTTCCCAACCTTATAATACTCTAAGAAGGCTATAAACAGACATTTATAGTCTAATTAAAAGAATAGACTATACACAAACAGACTTACACAAATGAAACAATTAGAGAACAATATCAGGTAGAACATCATTGCATAACAAAAGATATGGTAGAGCCAACTTCATGAGATCCCTAAGGAAGGCACTATTGATTTATGATAGGTATTAAGGAAAGCAATAGTTGGGGTTTTTAAAAGAAAAATAATAGAGGGTATGCTTAGTAATAAATTGAAAGAGGGTCAAGAGTCCAAAGTATGGCTAATTAACAAAGTGAAATTCTGGTCCTAATCTGAGGAGCTAAAGATGCTCTCTCAGGGATCATCAGGAATTAGGAAGTGGCAATGAATGAGGAATGTTGCAGCTTACTCAAAAGAAGCAGATCCAGTGTTGAAGGTGGCAGGACAGTGCTGTTTGTCATGAGTGTAGACATCCATAAGGCCAAGAATGGAACATCATCCACGCAGGGACAAGGAGGAAAAGAGGAGAATAAAAAGGAGATGCTGTTGTGGCCATTTTACTAAAGATCTCCTGCACAGGCAAGAAATAAAGATGAGGCTTTCTTGGGGGGAAAAACTGGCAGAAGCAACATGCACAGTGATAGGGGACTTCAACATTTAAGCATCTGCAGGGGGGTCTCATTCTGCTAAAAGTAAACCCTCTTGCCCTGGCTGGGGGGCTAAGTTGGTTGGAGCATCATCCCATACACCAAAAAGGTTGTGGGTTCGATTTCCAGTCAAAGTACATACCTAGGTTGTGGGTTTGATCTCTGGTTGTGGTGTGTATGGGGGGCAGTCAATTGATGTTGATGTTTTTCGCTCTCTCTCTCTCTCTCTCTCTCCCTCCCTTTCTCTAAAATCAATAAACATATCTTCAGATGAGGATAAATATATATATATGTGTGTGTGTGTGTGTGTGTGTGTGTGTGTGTAAACCTCTGATTAATTCTTAACTTATCCTAATGAGAAAATTTTCCCCTTTCTTTTTATTTTTAATTTAAATCATTTTTTAAATTTTTAATTACAGTTGACATACACTATAACATTAGTTTCAGGTGTACACCCCACTGATTAGACATTTTATAACTTAGAAGTGATCATCCTGATAAATCTCACACCCATCTGACACCAAGCATAGTTATTAGAATATTATTGACTATTCCCTAAGCTATACTTTATACCCCCTTCACGATTCTGTAAAAACCAATCTTCTTTTTTTTTTCTGATGCAAAAGCAAGGATCCTTTATTAGTAGTAGTACAGACCCGGGTCTGGCTCCCAGCCCCCTCTGACCCAACGGCCAGAAGTGGGGAGAGACCGCCGTGAGAAAAACCAGGGTTTTAATAGGGGGTGGAGTGAGGGGACTGTGGGCCCTGCCGATTGGCCAGGCGCAAGCTGGGTCTTGTTACATAGGATGCGGTAATTCTTATGGCGCGCACATCCCTCAACTGTCATTGGTTAGTTTAAAGAAATCCCAGGCGTGGCCAGCAGAGGCCTGGGCTTCCGGGAAGAAGGGGGTCTGAGCACATGGCTCCTACCCCAACATGGAGGATATGGGGCAAGATGGAGGGCATAGCCCTCACCCTTTCATTCCCCCCTTTGTCTTGGAACTTCCGGCTCAATCATGAGACGGACTGCATTTCTATTTCACCGTTGCTAGAGGCCCATACTGGGCACACAGAACTATCAACTGAACTATCCCTATATGCTTAACAAATGGTCCGGTGGAAGGGGAAGAAACCATTTTTGCAACCAATCTTCTTAATCCCTTCATCTTTTCACCCATCCCTAAAACCCCCACCCACCTGGCAACTGTCAAAATGTTCTCTGTATCTATGAGTCTATTTCTTTCTGCTCCATTTATTTTGGTTTTTTAGATTAATTTGTTGATAGATATGTATGTATTGCCATTTTATTGTTCATATATTTTTATCTTTTTTTCTTCCTTCCTAAAGAAGACCCTTTAACATTTCATGTAATACTGCTTTGGTGGTGATGAACTCCTTTAGCTTTTTCTTTCTTTTTTTAAATATATTTTTTATTGATTTCAGAGAGGAAGGGAGAGAGAGATAGAAACATCCATGATGATCAAGAATCATGGATCAGCTGCCTCCTGCACACTCCCTACTGGGGATCGAGCCCGTAACCCGGGCATGTGCCCTGACCGGGAATCTAACGGTGACCTCCTGGTTCATAGGTCGACGCTCAACCACTGAGCCACGCCAGCCGGACAGTGATGAACTCCTTTAGCTTTTTCTTTTCTGGGAAGTTCTTTATATGTCCTTCAATTCTAAATGATAGCTTTGCTGGCTAGAGTAATCTTGGTTGTAGGTCATTGCTTTTCATCACTTTTTTATTGTTTTATTGCTTAAAGTATTACAAAGAGTATTATATATGTCTCCTTTTTTTTTCTCCCCTTGACCTTCCCCTAGCCTCCCATACCCCCCAGTGTCTTGTGTCCATTGCTTATGCTTATATGCATGCATACAAGTCCTTCGGTTGATCTCTTACCCACCCCCCCACAGCCCTCCCTGGCCTTCCCACTGTAGTTTGACAGTCTGTTCGATGTTGCTCTGCCTCTGTATCTATTTTTGCTCATCAGTTTATAATGGTCTTAATTATCGATAAATGAGTGAGGTCATGTGGTATTTTTCTTTCATTGACTGGCTTATTGCACTTAGCATAATGCTCTCCACTTCCATCCATGCTGTTGCAAATGGTAAGAATTCCTTCTTTTTTACAGCAGCATAGTATTCCATCATGTATATGTACCACAGTTTTCTAATCCATTCATCTGCTGATGAGCACTTAGGCTGTTTCCAGATCTTAGCTATGGTGAATTGTGCTGCTATGAACATATGGGTGCATATATCCTTTCTGATTGGTGTTTCTGTTTTCTTGGGATATATTCCTAGCAGTGGGATCACTGGGTCAAATGGAAGTTCCATTTTTAACTTTTTGAGGAAACTCCATACTGTCTTCCATAGTGGCTGCACCAGTCTGCATTTCCACCAGCAGTGCACGAGTGTTCCTTTTTCTCCACATCCTCTTCAGCACTTGTCGTTTGTTGATTTGTTGATGATAGCCATTCTGACAGGTGTGAGATGGTACCTCATTGTTGTTTTGATTTGCATTTCTCGAATGATTAGTGACTTTGAGCATGTTTTCATATGTCTCTTGGCTTTCTGAATGTCCTCTTTTGAAAAGTGTCTATTTAGGTCCTTTGCCCATTTTTTGATTGGATTGTTTATCTTCCTTTTGTCAAGTTGTATGAGTTCCCTATAAATGTTGGAGATTAAACCCTTATCGGTGATAACATTGGCAAATATGTTCTCCCATGCAGTGGGCTTTCTTGTTGTTTTGTTGATGGTTTCTTTTGCTGTGCAGAAGCTTTTTATTTTGATGTAGTCCCATTTGTTTATTTTCTCTTTAGTTTCCAATTCCCTAGGAGCTGTATCGGTGAAGAAATTGCTTCAGCATATGTCTGAGATTTTGTTGCCTTTGGCTTCCTCTAGTATTTTTATGGTTTCCCGTCTTACATTTAAGTCCTTTATCCATTTTGAGTTTATTTTTGTGTATGGTGTAAGTTGGTGGTCTAGTTTCATTTTTTTGCATGTATCTGTCCAATTTTCCCAACACCATTTATTGAAGAGACTGTCTTGACTCCATTGTATGTTCTTGCCTCCTTTGTCAAATATTAATTGAGCATCTTTTCATCACTTTGAGTATTTCTTGCCAATTCCTTCTGGCCTGCAAAGTTTCTGTTGAGAAGTCAGCTGACAGTCTTATGGGAGCTCCCTTGTAGGTAACTAAGTAACTACTTTTCTTTTGCTGCTTTTAAGATTCTCTCTTTGTCTTTAACCTTTTGCATTTTAATCTGATGTGTCTTGGTGTGGGCTTCTTTGGGTTCATCTTGTTTGGGACTCTCTGCACTTCCTGAACTTGTATGTTTATTTCCTTCATCAAGTTAGTGAAGTTTTCTGTTATTATTTTTTCAAATAGATTTTCAATTTCTTGCTCTCTCTCATCTCCTTCCAGCACTCCCATGATGCAAATGTTCGTGTACTTGAACTTGTTCCAAAGATTCCTTGCACTGTCTTCATTTCTAAAAATTTGTAGGAGGATGAGGGCATGTGCTGGGGAGTGTAAATGACTGGGGAGAGGTCAATGGGAGGAAAAGGAGACATATGTAATACTTTAAACAATACAAAATTAAAATAAATAAATAAATGACCTTAAAAAGAAAGAAAGAAGTTCAGGTCATAAAATAAGGAAAGAAAAAATTTTTTTTTCTTTTTGCTGTTCTGAGTAGGTGTTTTTTGCTTCCTTATATTCAAAATTGTTGATTTGATTCTTAGCTTCATCTACTCTACTATTGGTTCCCTATAAATTATTCTTCATTTCAAATAGTATATCCATTTCTGACTGGTTCTTTTTTATGGTTTCCATGTTCTGTTTAAGGTTTCCCTGTCCTTTTTTATTCTGTTGAAGTTTTCTCTAAGTTCAACTACTCTTACCCTAAGTTCATTGAGCATTCTTATGATAGTGTTTGAACTCTGCATCTAGTAAATTGCTTATCTCCATTTTGTTTAGTTCTTTTTCTGTAGTTTTATACTGTTCTTTCATTGAGGACATGTTTCTTTGTCTCCTCCTTTTGACTGCTTCCTTGTGTTAGTTTCTATGTATTAGATAGAGCTGCTATATTTCCCCGGCTTGGTAGAGTGGCCTTATGTAGTAGGTGTTGTGTAGGGTCTAGTGGTACAACTTTCCCAATCACTGAAGCTGGGCACCCCCAACATCTTGTATGGGCTATGTGCACCCTCCTGTTGTAGTTGAGCCTTGATTGCTGTTGGCATGTCATTGGGAGGGATTTACCTTCAGCCTAATTGGCTGCAAGGACTGGCTGAGACCATTGTCCACCGTGGAGGATCAGCTGTGCAGGGACCCACCCCACAGAGTAGGACTTACTTCATCAGGGTTCTGGAGCCCACTGAGTCCATCTCTCAAGTGTGTCAGGCTTCAACATGATCTAGAGCTGTCCACTGGGTACACTGACTCTGGGGCCTCCCTGGAGGTGCAGGCCAACTCCTCCTGCCTGTATTTTGCCTGGGGCAACCCAGCATGAGCTACAAAGTAATCTGCAGATGGCTGCTACTTGTGCTGGGCTTGAGGTAATTAGGAGAGGCCAAGCTTTGAACCAAGGCTGGCTACTGCTAGTGCCAGGCCTGAGGCCACTTAGTAAGAGGTACAGGACACACTAAGGACAGATGCTGCTTGATTGAGAGATTTTAGGAAAGTCTACAGCAGACCATTTGTATGGAAAAGCCACTGGAAGTAACTTGGATGGGCCTGCAAGTTTGGTGGGGCAGGGTCTCAGAGAATCACCAGAGCAGGATGAACAGTGATAACCAGGTTGATGGAGACTCAGATATGGTACCCACCTGCTGGCTCTGTGAGGGGAGGGCTCATCAAAGGAACAGTGGCCTCTGTCAGCAATTCTGTCTTAGAGAAAACTGCCCCAATGCTCTCACCTTGATGCCAGACTATTCAGTTCCTCCCTGGTGCTTTTTGAGCTGCTATCCCAGCTAAGGAGCTCCGATGGAATAAGTCAGAGTAATTCTGTGCGCTGCCCTTTTATGAGGAATGCCTGGGACTCCAGCAGCCCTCAGCCTCAATTCCAGCTCGTTTTTACAGTCAGAAGTTATGGGGACTTCTCTTCCCAGCACTGAAACCCTGGGTTTGGGTACCTGGTGTGGGACTGGGACCCCTCGCTCCTCAGGGGGTACCTCCTGATTTTTATCTGTCACATGTGGGTGTGGGGACCAGCCAATTCTGTGTCTCTGCCCCGCCTACCAGTCTCGATGTGGCTTCTTCTTTAGTTACCTAGTTGTAGGACTTCCATTCAGGCGGTTCTGAATGATGATTGTTCTGTAGTTTAGTGGTAATTTTGATGTGGTTGTGGGAGGATGGGAGTATTGTAATTACTTATGCTGCCATCTTGACTGGAAGTGTATTCTCTTCCTTTATTTGACCTATTACTAAACTAAACCTGGAAAGTAGTACACACCTAATAGCAGATAACTTCTTGGGGAGAGAGAGAAAGAGAGAGAGAGAGAGAGAGAGAGAGAGAGAGAGAGAGAGAGAGAGAGAGAAGAGTCATGGCCAGAAAATAATAATAACATTCAAAGAGTGTTAATTAATGGCTCTGTGTGTCAAGCTGGAAAGAGGTCTTTATTGGGCACTGCAGAATCTGTCTGTCCTTGGCTCTGACCACTCAAAAATTATATCAACAAAAGAGAACACAGAAAGATTCCACAAATTCTGGAAATTAGTATTCAGGAAGTATTTTTCTAAAACAATGGGCTGAAACTAACAAAAAGAAATATATTAGGGATGCCTGGAAATATCTGCAAATACTCAATGCTCAAGTGTAAGATTGTAAAGATGTAATTTAACAGTGTGTCTCATGAGAAAGGCCCAGGGGATTTAATGGAGTGAAAACTCTATTTGTGCTGTCAGACTCTCATGGCTGTCCTGGAAGTCAAGCAGAATCAGAGGCAGCAGTCAGAGCAGTGTGATATTTGGGCCACACACCACACTGGTCTGACCCCACCTGAAATACTGACTTTGTCCTAGGCACTCCATTCTGGGAGTGACACTGATATGGTAGAGCATATTTAGAGGGAGTTGAGGCATTTGCAAATTAGGAATGTGTGGCCTGGAGAAATGAAGTCTTAGGATGACAAGCATCTTCAGAAATCTCAAAGGTTCTCAAAGGGAAGATAGTCTGTGTAGCTCCAGGGAAAGAACTAAGACCAGTGGGTAAAAGTTACAGGGAGGCAGATTTCAGCTCTGTGTGAGGGCTTCCACAACTATGACAAGCTGACTCAAAAAGAGGGAGCTCCTCCCATGGGAAATATGCACTCAGAGGCCATGAGACCATCTATCACAAATGTTGACAGGGAAGCTCTGCATTGGGTTAAAAGTTGGCCCAGATAACCTTAAGGAATCACTGAGATTCTTTGATCTTATAAATATAACCATAAGGCTTTGTTGAAGAGATGAAACTTGAGCAGGGCCTTAGGTTAACCTCATGTTTTTCTTTCTGACTTGCCCATTCTAGTACAGAGAGGGGAAGAAACTAAAACCCAAACCTAACTACAACAGCGTGGATCTCTCTGAAGTGGAATGGGAGGACCGAGCTGAAATCGTGAGTGGGGAAAGTGGGAAAAGGAGGAGTTGGTTGGGCTCTATGGCCAATACATGAGCCAGCTGCATGGCTGGAAGCTCTGAGGCCACTCTATACTTCTCGGTGGAGCCTTTTCAAGCCCAAACCAGAAATCATTACTATAATGGGAAATTCTTTAAACAACTATAAAAATATCTTTCTGAATCACAAGGATTACTAAGGCTGCATAAGCTCATGTCTACAAGCTACAGAGTTGGAGTTGGAGTGATGTCTTAGTCTGGCTTTGGTGTCGGTAGCTCACCCTAGAGGAAATTATGTCTCAGTAATATGACACTATGTTCCTGCATATACCAGTCCACTTTGGAACATTAACTTAGTGAATTTCCAGAATTATAAGATAAATGGTACCTAGAAGCTAGTCTCTAGTCCCCCTCAGTATTCTGCTCAGAGGAAAAGGGGAAGAACCAAAAGTGTTCCTAAGGATCACCTCCAATCTGGTCAGTAAAGCTCGGCACTGCAGGGTGAGTCAAGGAACTAATTCTACTATCTTTCCTCTTAAAGCTGAGAACAGCCATGATCAATGGGGAAACAGGTTCTCTCTCTATGGATGTGAAGATTCCGCTGGACAAAGGGGTAAGGTGCTAGAGAGAAAGAGCCAGGCTCTGGTCCCAAGAGGCAGCATTGCCATTAATTGAGGTTTGGGATGGTGACAAGGAACTTGGACTTAGATAAATTAGAGCTTAAGACTTGAGAGCTTGCTGTACCTAGAGGGCTTGATTAGCAAGCATATCCAAGGCTTGGCCCCAGAGAAGCATCTGGCCAAGGAACTGGCACTCACATCAAGGCTGGGCTCTTAGGTGACTACTGAGCAAGGCAGTTGGTAGCCCAAGTTTTTACAACTCTTCTTTCTTCCTTATGCTGCCTGTTACTTAGCCCTTTTGCTGTCTGTGATGGAAAGAAGAAAAGTGACAGTTAATTTTGCAAATTGTTAGCAGCTCCTGTAAAACATGTTATATGGGAAGAGGTTAAAAATAATTGCTATTCTCCATAGCTGATTTTTATCCACTGTAACCACAGATGCTCAAGAATCGATACCCTCACTGACACTATTACTGTCTTCACAGACCTGCAGATCATTTATAAAAGATCATTTCACCTTCTCACTTAAAGGGTTCCAATGCATTTTCAGTGAATTTTCATTGTCCCTTGACATATTTACAAATGTCACCTCCTCCCTCACAACCACTCCCACCTCCTCCTCCTGTTGCCCATCTGTCTCAGCTAAAAGAACACAGGCATTTGTCTGCAACAATTAGACCCAAGTTCTTCTACAAACACAGACCTCCATGGAAGCCAAATAAGAAAGCACTGGGAAGGAAAAGCAATTCATTGTATTCCTTTGAGATGCACAGACTCTCACTGGGACCAATATCTGACTTCTGTGGCAGCTGCTTTTTTCATAGGTTCTGGGAAGGAAAGGGCCTCCTTTAGGCAGACTGGGCAGCACCAGTGGCTTGAGACCATCAATTGCAGCAGCTGCTTCTCCTGATCCAGAAAAACAGATGTTTCTTCAATGAGCCTGCACCTTGATCCCAGCCAGACTCCCACTCACATGCAGAAGGGCACAAGAGTGCTCTCACTGGCCCAACCCTGCCAGGGCATTAAGTAGGACTTGTTTTTATGCTACAATGAAAACGTTAACATGCCCATGGTACACGGCAGCTTTAGGACAGATCTGAGTGTGACTATACTATGTGGAATATAGACCAGCTTATGAAGTGGTCTTTCTTTCTCATGCTGGATTCCCACTTCTCAAAGCCACCAAGGGAGAGTCCTAACCAGATGCAGGCAGCCTGAGCTTCTCCAAAACCCCAGGCCCTCCCTTTGAAATGTGTCCATTGCTGCTAATAAATCATCCAAGTGACATTTGCAACTTAACAAAGTCTTCTTGACATAAAGAAGTAGGGTGATGATGATCATGGTCACAACCATGATGGAGATTTCATAACATGGATGATTTCATGCCTTACTGCTGCTATTATTATTAATAATAAAATAATAGTAATAATGGCAGCTAACATTTATTAGAAACTGTACTAAGCACTTAATGTGTTCAGTCAGTACTCACAACCTTATGAGAACAGAACCCCATAAGGTACTATCCTATCCCCATGTTACAGTTGAGGAGATTCAGAGGTTAAAGACTTGCCCAGGGTCCAATTCTAGACCCCACACTCTGGAGCACTACTGTATAAAGCCTTACTGTAGGACTGGCCCTGAATTCTCAGCTCACTCGCCCGCCTTAAAGATTTCTCAAGACTCTCTTTAGAATAGCATTGCTATTCTACCTTTACAATTCATTATCTTCTCCTCTCCCTTTACCCCATGATAGCAAAACTCTCCTCTTTAATCTTTCCTTTCTCTACTCTCATGCCAGAAGCTACTGCACCTGCACTGTGTGTGGGGGGTGGGGAGGGCGCATTTTGCTGGTATAAAGGCCACCATGGTGGAGTCCAGCCTCTCACTGCTCTGGTTTACAATGATGCCATGCTTCCCGGTGGTGCTCCACTTGGTTCACTACCAACGGCTCTGTCTCTCCTGCATGTCCTCTCTTTGTCAGTCACAGGCAGTCGCATTGTTTTCTTGCCTGCCAGTCAGTCTATCCCAGTCCTCTCTCAGCTCAGGGGTGCATCTCACCTGCAAGCATGATCCTCAGTAGCAGCACTCCTCAGGTCTAGGCCAAGGGAAACTTTCTTAAAACACGTGGGGATATCTCTTTTCACTCAAGCCATCCACCTGGCAGGTGATACCTTGTTTTGCCATTTTCCCAGGGGATTTTTCATGCATCCCTATTTCCCACAGATTCTTCAGACCTTTCTAAATCTCCCCTAAACTTCAGACAGGTGACCATGGTGACATGACCAAGGACAATAGTAGCAAACCCAGCATGGTTTAGAGCAGGACTCACAAACCCAAAAACCTATGGGGCCAGACAGGTCATGTTCAGAAACGTGAGTGAGAGAAGCAACAAGCCTCAATCCTGGGGATGCTGGGAACTATGGAAAGCTGGAGAGTACATGTGACACACACACACACACACACACACACACACACACACACACAGGAGCTGGCACCGGCATTAGAGCAGCTTTACTGTATGTTCCTCTGCCTTCTAAACCCTATGCACTGGATTCAAGGAGACAGGATTAAAGTGCCCTGTGGTATGTTCTCTCTCTCTCTCTCTCTCTCTCTCTCTCTCTCACACACACACACACACACACACACACACACTTTAATTTCCCAGCAAAGAGAGGCAATCTATTGGAAGAAGAGATTGCTATGACATCTCTTTACTTTCATCCTCCAAACCTCTCCAGCTCTCTCTTTCTGTTAGCAGGATTCAGGAATACCCCACCCCCTCCTTCTCTTTCCTTTAGCTTTAGTCTTAAAAGATAACTTCAAAGTTCTGATTTTGGTCATGAGGGAGTAGCTTGCATTTAGACTAACCTTCCAGCAGAGGACAATTATAAATCTGGAAAATATATTAAAAAACAAACATGCAAAGGCACATGAAAGTGACTAAAAGCAGGCAGAAACTAAGGCTGAAGAGGATTCCAGCTGTCGCCTGTGGGAGTGGGGACAATTTGGAGTCAGAGACAAACTGAGGTGAAGAAGCTTAGTAACCACCACAGGATTTCCTTTACGAGCACAGAAGAGCTACACTTTAGGAGTGAAGACCATGTGTCAAGACCCAGGGATTCACCCTAAACCTAAAGACAAAGTTGAAACACACCCACCCTAAAATAAATGTAAATCCAAGCCTCCACAAGCTCAAGGAGACTTGCCAATAATTTATCTACCAATAAAATAAAAACCAATACTCTTCAGAGGAAGACAATGTGCCTACAACCTATTCTTTACAACAGCAAGTATACAATAAAAATCATTACACATGTGAAGAAACAGGAAAATGTGACACATAGTTAAGAGAAAAAAAAAGTCTTAAAACTGACCCAGAAATAACCCAGCTGTTAGAATTAGAAGAACTTTAAAGCATATATGATAAATTTGCACAAGGAATTTTAAAACGGTGGTCATAATGAGTGAATAGTTAGAGAATCTCAGCAGAGAAATGTTAGAATTTGATTAAAGAGCAGAACCACTATAACTGAAATGAATATAGGGCTTTATTCTAGGGGTTAAACCTTATGAAATTGTGGGAGCTGGTGAAGAAGTCTACAGAAGGCTGTCGTGACCTTAAAGTCATCATAGGACAGCAGGGACCACAGTTTGGAAGGAAAGCTGGAAGCTATATGGGAAAAGCAAGAACAAACTGGAACCCATGAAGAGAAACAGAAACTCAGGAGGAAAAACTAAAATCCACCCACAGTGAAGTCAGTGACCTGCAGAAGGAGCTAGTGCCCTTCACATGGAGCTACACACTCACAGGGCTCGGGTCTCAGAGAAACAGAAGGAGATCCAGTGGCAGCTGAGGAAGCTTTGAGTGTGGCTGCTTACCCAGGCCAAGAAGGTAAGCCAACAGCTCAGAGCAAGCTACAAGTGCCTGATACTTTCCTCTAGTGTGTAAACTGGTTGCTGCTTCATGTCTGCCCCAAAATCTCTTGCAAACTTCTCTTTTGGCCAACTCAAACTTGGAATCATATAGGGAAGTGAATTTGGAAATGTAGTTCCAGCTTCATTAATTTGACACAGCATGAAACGACCACAAGAACCAAATACAGTTTTTAGAACCAAATAGTATAGTATCTGAAATGAAATTTTTACTAGATGGGAATTCTGGTCAAGATGGTAGAGTAGATAAATGCTGTGCTCACCTCCCTCTATGACCACTTCAGGGTTACAACTACTTACAGAGCAACCATCATTGAGAACTACCTGAAGACTAGCTGAACAGAAGTCCTACAACCAAGGATATAAAGAAAAGGCCATGTTGAGATTGATAGGAGGGGTGGAGACACAGAAGAGGCTGTTCCCACATCCATGTGTGGTGGTACAGAATCAGGAAGGATATCTCAGTGCAGAGGTCCCCCATGAGGAACCAGGGGTCCCATCTCCACATTGGACTCCCCAGCCCATGATTCCAGTACTGGGAATAGAAGTCACCATAATTCCTGGCTATGGAAAACAGTGGTGATTGCAACTGGGTGAGACAAGGGCTGCTGGAGTCCAGGCACTACAGGTCTTAAAGGGCCCATGCTCGGACTTACTCAAACTCACTCGCTGGGGCAGGGACAAAGGGGAGGACCTGAATTGTCTGGCTTCAGGGCTAGGGCTCAAAGGCAGCTGGTAGGTGCCATTGTTCCTCTGCTGAGCCTCTGCTGAGCCTTCCCTCAACATAACCTGCAGGGACAGGCAGGCATCAAGCCTGAGTCTCCATCAACCTATTTAATACTGGTGATTCTGAGATCCTGCATTACCCAAACTGCAGGCCCACTCAAGCCTCTCTGAGCAGCTTTTCCATACAAACAGCCTGTCTCGGCTCATGCTGTGGGTTTTCCTAAAATCTCTAAGGTCCACAAACTCCAAACAAGCAGCATTTGACCTTGGCAGGCCCCATGCCTGCTGCTGAACAGTCCAAGCCTGGCACCAGTGACAGCCTCTCCCAGGCACCTCTAAGCCCAACACAAGCAACAACAATTTGCAGATCACTTTGTAACTCATACTAACAGGCCCCAGGCTGGGCATAGGTAGCAGCTGACCTTGGCTTGCACCAGATCTCTTCCCAAGAGGCCCCAAAACCAACACACCTGGTGGTGTGCTTAAGAACACAACAGAGCACCACTCATACCCTCCACAAATGACATACCAAAGGGTGGACTCAGCAGGCACCAGAACCCTAATAAAGTGAATCCTGTTCAGTGGGGTCAGCCCCTACACAATAGCTTTTCAGCTATAATCACAGCCATTCCTCACAGCCAATCAGCTTGAGAGTCAATCCCTCCCACTGATGTGCCAATAGCAATAAAAGCTCAACTACAACAAGAGGGCACACACAACACACACAAGGGACAGGCCTGGGGCACCCAGCTCAGGTGACCAGGAGACTGCACCTTAGGGACCCACAGGACACCTTCTACATAAATTACTCTACCAAGACCAGGAGACATAGCAGATCTACCCAATACAGAGAAACAAACATGAGTCAGTCAAAATGAGAAGACAAAGAAACATGTCCCAAATGAAAGAACAGAACAAAACTCCAGCAAAAGAACTAAACAATAGGAGACAAGCAATTTACCAAATGCAGAGTTCAAAACACTGGTTATAAGGATGTTCAATTAACTTAGGGGAAGAGTAGATGAACTTGGTGAGACCTTGAACAAAGAGATAGGAAACATAAAAAAGAACCAGTCAGAAATGAAGTGTACAGTAACTAAAATGAAGGATACTCTAGAGGGAATCAATAGTAAATTAGATGAATCAGAGGATCAAATCAACAATTTTGAAGACAAGGTAATGGAAAACACCCAATCAAAACAGAAAAAAGAAAAAAGAAACCACAAAATAAGGATAGTTTAAAGAGCCTCAGGGGTAAAATCAAGCATACCAACATTCACATCAAAGTGGTACCAGAAGGAGAAGAGTGAGAGCAAAGGATTGAAAACCTATTTGAAGAAATTATGATGGGAAACTTTCCTAACCTGGCAAAGGGAATAGGCATACAAGTCCAGGAAGTGCAGAGAGTCCTAAATAAAATGGGACCCAAATAAGAAGGGAGCTCCCATAGGTTTGTCAGCTAATTTCTCAACAGAAACTTTGCAGGCCAGAAAGGGTTGGCACAAAATATTCAAAGTGATGAAAAACAAGAACCTACAACCAAGATCACTCTACCCAGCAAGGCTATCATTAAAATAGAAAGACAGCTAAAGAGCTTCCCAGACAAAAAAAAAAAAAAGCTAAACCAATATTATAAGAAATGTTAAAGAGACTTCATTAAAAAGAAAAGATCAAATATATGAATAATAAAGTGACAATAATTACATATCTATCAATAATTATTTTAAATGAAAATGGATTAAATGCTCCAGTCAAAAGACATAGGATGGCTGAATGGCTAAGAAAACAAGAACCATACATAATGCTGTCTACAAGAGACTCACTTCGGATTGAAAGACACACAGACTAAAAGTGAGGGCTGGAAAAGGTATTTCATGCAAATGAAAATGAAACAAAAGCTATGTTAGCAATACTTACATCAGACAAAGTAGACTTTAAAATAAAGGCTGTAACAAGAGACAAAGAAAAACCCAGCAATTCCACTTCTGGGTATTTACTGAAGAAGTCCAAAACACTAATTTGAAAAGATATATGCATCCCTATGCTCACTGCAGAATTATTTACAACTAGTAGCCTGGTGCACGAAATTCGTGCACATTAAAAGGGAATTAATTAGCAGAAATATTTTAATATTGCTATTTGCCCTTTCTCTATAATAGAAGTGTGAGAGATGAAAGGAAATTAGTAAAATGTATATGAAAAGAATATATAAATTTATTAATAAATAAACAGTAACAAAAGGATATAACAACAACAGAGGCATGATATAAAAATGACAAAAACATGATATGAAAACAATAAAAACAACAAAAACATGATATAAAAACAACAGTGACGCAAACAATGACTGATAAAGTGATTAAACTTATTCTAATATCTCCCTGTACACCACATTAAGAGTGAAAACACTTTCAGAGTGCTTGACTAATTTCTCTTGTGATGAAGTATTTAGAACTTTAACTTGAATGTCACATGCTCTTCAAACTCGAGAGAAAGCAACATATAACTGACCATGTGTGAAAACGGGTTCAGGTAGGAATATGCCTACTTTGTCTAGAGTTTGTCCTTGTGATTTATTAATGTCATCACAAATGCTGGTATCACGGGAAACTGTCATTGAATCAATTTAAATGGGAGGCCAGTGTCAAATGGGGACAAATCAATTCTTGGAATCAGAACAACCTCTCCCTCTGCAGATCCTGTTAATACTTCAGCTTTGATAATGTTAGGTTGTAATCTTTTGATAATAAATCTGGTACCATTACAAAGACCCCATTTACTATTAAGATTTCTCAATAACATGATGATTGCACCCACTTTCCATTTTAATTTATGACATGGCATTCCCGAAGGAGTAATACTATTAAGAAATTCAATGGGAAAATTTTCCTTTTCAGCATCATCTGTGGAATCAATGGAATCATCACTCAAATATGTGTGAAAATCTCCATCGAGTATATCCAAAATTTCTTCATTTAATTTTTGAACGTGCTCATTTTTTGGACAAAGAATTGCACGTTTAAATATATTTTTAATATTATCTAAAGATGTAGTATTTCCAAAGGTAGCTTCAATAATAGATCCATTACAAATCATTTCACAGGGGATTTCAATAATAACCATTCCTAAATGAAAACTGCTATCAAGTTTGCCATCTTCAAGTTTTACTAACCATTCACTATAAGCAGAATCCTCTGATCTCATATTTGTTGTAAGAGACAACTTTCTGAAACATCCCCAAACATTGCAGTACTTTAAACTCGTTTGTACTATGGCCGATCACATAGCATGCGGTACAATACTGAGACATTGTCGAAAATCCCCTCCAAGAAGGAGAACTTTCCCACCAAATACAACATTCAAATTTCTCTTAGTAATCTGTCTATGGCGTTTATAGCATGACTGGATGCCATTATGCATTCATCAATAATGAGAAGTTGGGCCTTTTTAATAGTTTTAGCAACTTCACTATTTATATTGAGTCTAGAAATTGAAGTTTCATTTAATGGAATGGGTAATTTATATTGGGAATGAAAGGTTCTTCCACCAAGAAGTAAATTTGCAGCAATTCCTGTAGACGTTGTGGGTAAAACAGTACTACCACAACCTCTAATATAATGTATTAAAACTTTATAAAGATATGCCTCCATGCTCTGAGGGCCGGTTCCTGCCTCAAACCTCACTCTCCCGGGAAACAGCCCAGGGAGGGTGCAGCCCTTGGCAACACGACCCAGGACTCAGTGTGTCCACACTCCGAGGGCGAGTTCCTGCCTGAAACCTGGCCACCCTCGCAGGAAACAGCTCAGGGAGGGTGCAGCTGTTTCCAAGACAACCCCTGCAGGACTGACTTCCTTCTGGTTGGTCGAGCCTCAGTTGTGATGTTACACCCAGGGTTTTTATATAAATAGATAGCCAATATATGGAAGTAGCTTAAGTGTCCATCAAGTGGATACATGTATACAATGGAATATTACTCATCCATAAAAATAATGAAATAACATTTGTGACAACATGAATGGACCTAGAGGGTACTATGCTAAATGAAATAAGTCAGACAGAGAAAGACGAATATTGTATGATTTCACTTACATGTGGAACCTAAAAAAAATGAGCAAACAAACAAAACAGAAATAAACTCATAGATACAGAAAATAAATTGATGGTTGCCAGGTCGGAGGGGCATAGGGAGAAAGAGAGAAACATCAATGTGAGAGAGACACATCAATTGGTTGCCTCCCCTACCCATCCCAACCGGGGCCAGGGATCAAACCTGCAACACTGGTATGTGCCCTTAACAGGTAATCAAGCCCGTGACTCTTTGGTGCTCCAGCCAATGTTCTAACCACAACAGAGCTCCCTTCCAACATCTTGTCCAGTTTCCAAGGTGCAAGAAAAGCCAGAAAGAAGTGAGGGAAATAACAGCTCCTGAGCCAACTGGAACATGTGGCTTTCCCAAAGACAGAAAGTTGAGTCTGTGGACCAGACACTCCGTGGAACTTCAGAGCCCAGCGCAAATCCTGCTGTTCCCTGGACCGACTCCCATCTATTAAAAACATACAACCTCAGAGCAACCATAGGCAAGAGATGCTATTGTTAACCCCGATTTACAAATGCGAATTCTGATGCTTAGAAAAATGAAGTGATTTACCTCAGAGCACACAACTTAAATCCAGATCTGTCTGATTCATAGCCTCTGTATACACTACCTGATGCTCTAATTTATGCAAATGCAAGTGAAACCTGAGAGAAGCAGCTTTGAAAGGAAAAAAGAGTTGTAAAGAGTGACTGGCCTGGGAGAGGTTTAGTGGAGAGAATGGTGACCCCACTCCCTAGGCTGTATTCAAGAAAGGGAAGGGTTGTGGGTGGGTGGACAGAAGCTTTTAGCACCAACTAGATTCCCTCCAACTGCATAAATATTCCACTCTGGTCCCATATGAAGCCGAGAATCAGTCTACACCCACCCTGTCCAATACAATAGTCACTACCACATTGGTGATCTCAATTTAAATTTTCCTTCACTAAAGTCTGAAGATTCATTTCCTTATTTGCACATATCAAGGTTCAGTACCATTCATTCCCTGGCCACTTTATGGGACAGCACAGGTCTAGCCCTTGGTCCTTCAGTCAGGCCACCCCCAAAGGCTGCTGGGCCTGCGATGATGAGTCTGCCTGTGGTGTCCAGAGATGAGGCATGCTGGTGCTGGTTAGGGAAGAGGTAAGAAGTGAGAGAAACGGCACAGAGCTGGTGAAACCCCAAGGGCTTTAGGTAAGGAGGTGGGTGGCATGGGGGCCACTCCTCTCCAGCAAACATCTTTGTTTTCTCTTTCAGAAGAGGGTTCTTTTCCTGACCAATGACTACTTCTTCACAGACATCAGTGACACACCTTTCAGGTGAGGACACATGTTTTGTTTGCGGAGTGGAAGGATGAGTAGAACATGAATATCAACAACACAGGGAAGAACTTTCAGGGAGGGGGATGTATTTACTCATAGTTGGCAGTTTTGTGGCAACAGAAAAAGACCCAGGTCTGTATCCAGGAAACTTAAGAGATCTAGTCCTGCTTTGCCGGTGTAGTCTATTGTGCAGAGTCTGGAACCAAACTGCCTGAGTTTAAATCCCAACTTCATCGCTTACAGGCTGTGTAACCTTTGTCAAGTTACTTTACCTCTCTGTGCTTTAGATTCCTCATCTGTAAAATGAGGGTTGTAATACTAGCTACTTCTTGGCGGTATTGTGAACATTGAATGGCATAATCTACTTAAAGATCTTAATGCATGCAGTTGTAAGAAATTGTTAGATAAAAGATGAAATTTAAAGAACTCCTAGGTTTCCTCCAGCAGTATAAATATTTAACTCCAGGTAATATACGGATTAGGAAACAAATAGCCTTTATCTCTGAATTATCTCATTTCTCAATAAAGCATGGCTTCCAGCCCTGACTGCTCATTAGAATTCCTGAGGAATTTTATAAAATTGCCAATGTCCAGGCCCCATCCAAACCAATTTACTCAGAATTTCTAGGATGGGGCCCAGACGCTAGTGTCTTTTAAAGCTCCCTGGGTGATTCAGATATTTGGCCAAGGTTCAAAAGCAATGTTCTGCCAGGAGAGAGAGGAAGGCATCGTGGGATTCACCAGTTGGGAAAGGACTCTTCTATGTGGGGAGCCCTGTGAGACCTAGAGACTTTTCCACATTTCAGCGGGTTCCCGAGAGGTTCAGGGTGTAACCTGATTAAAATGGGTGCTGAGGAGAATCTTTGGCCTGTAGAATTTCCTGGTCCTTTTCAGGAAGAAAGGCTGATGTAAAAATAAAAGTGCTGCCTCAGTCCTGAGGGAAGCAAGGGGCTTGGATGTGGACAGCTCGTACACTTAGAGCTGGTGAAGAGCAGGACATGGACCGGACGTTGACTTGCACTTGCTGTTGATGAGGACCTGGGTTCTCTGCTCTCCCCACAGCTTGGGAGTGGTGCTGTCCCAGGGCCACGGCGAACACATCCTCCTGGGGAACACATCTGTGGAAGAAGGTGGGTCGGCGCCACGTACAGATGACAGTTAAGAGGGGAAAATGGATGCTCCTGGGATAGTGAGCAGGACCAACTGGAGCCAGAGCTGGTCTGACAGGCTCCGGGCCCTGGTCTTGAGGGCAGACTCTCAGAGCCGGGCTACAGGGAGGACGGTCTGTGTGTCCGGGCATCCTGGGTGAGCAGCATCTGCCAGTCGGCCATCAAAACCGACAGCCTCAGATGTGCCGACTTCGCACTGCCAGGCCCTGGGAGGCGTTGCTGGGCCAGAGGGCCGGGCCTCCAGGGGATGTGTTTCTCTGAACAAAGCTGAATTTAACCTGTCGGAAGACTGCGGAAGGCATGAGAAAGGAGGCTGGGAAGAGTGAGGAAGCAAATCTGTAGCCATTTGCTTGGGTTGCTGTACAAAGTGCCACAAACTGGGTGGCCCTGACAACAGAAAGTATTCCCTCACAGTTCTGCCGGCCAGGCTGCCTCCAACGCCCCTTCCAGCTCCTGGTCCCCACGTCCTTGGCTTGCACTGCAGCTCTTCCATGTTTCCTCCATCATCACATGGCTTCTCCCCTTGTGTGTCTCTATTTTCCCTTCCTATGAGGACACCAGGCACCTCATTGTAACTTGAATACATCTGCCAAGACCCTATTGCTTATCAGATCACCTTCACAGGTATTGGGGATTAAAACTTCAACATGTCATTTTGAAGGACACAATGCAACCCATAAAGGGAGCTCATGGGCAGCGAACCTGAGAAGAATGGCGGGAGATGGTGGGGAGGATGGCAGAGAAGGGCCCACCCTCTCTAACGCAACCTGCTCATGACTGGCAGCTGCCTGGGCACCTTGAGAGAAAAAAACCCATATCCAGGGCTCAGGGCGTCCTTGAGAGATGTGGTCACAGCCCTATTCAAAGCCCATATTCTGTCCATTCCCCTTTACCATCCCTTGACTGTACCTGTCTCTCCTCTCTGCCACGGCCACTGTCCCCTCTCTCCCAGGTAGCCATAGCCGCCTCCAGCGGGTCTCCTGCCTCTTCCTTTCTTTGAACTTCTTTCTGCCAGAGGGAACTTTCTAGAAATGCCGAATTGGATTGTGTTGCTGCTAAAGGACCCTCACTGGCCTTCTGCTTTTTCTCATTTCCCCACACACTAGGCTTCAAGTCTTCCCATTACTGCACTCTCCTCTGAAATGCTCTTCTCTCCAGCCCCACCCTCTGATCCCAGCTAACTCGGACCCACTCCTCAGGCCCAGGGTACACTTCACTTTCCCAGGAGCCCCCCAGGACCCCTGTCCACACCCAGGCTGGGTTATGTGCCCAGCTGTGTGCTCCCACATCCCCTGAATTCGCCCTTTCACAGCCTGTGTCCTGACGCTGGAACACTCCTTCCGTTTCCCGCCGGCCCCAAAACAAACTTCCCTGCCCTGTGCTCTTCTTCCTCTCCCAGATATCCCATCTCATTGCTGCAGGGATGGGTGCCCTCCGTCACCCACTGCAGTGGGTTAGACCAGCCAGTGATCCAGGGGCTTAAAGTCAACTGGGCTTCCTGTGGGGACAGGAGTGTCACCCTTTGACTGTTTGCCTGCGTCTATGTCAGCCTAGAACCTCTTTTAGTGAAGCCGCGCATGCCCCCTTGGCGTTGCCATCATCCTTGCATTCAATTTGATGAACCTCAATTTGAGCACCTATTTATTTTTGAGCACTGAGGGTGCTCAGTGGGGTGCTTTTCATTCATTCATTCAATCAACAAATGTATGGAGCCCATGTCAGTGTAGGTGCTGTGCTGGGCTGGGCACGAGGCTACAGAGATTACACAGAACAGACATGGCCCACCTCTGGGATCACCTTTTGACTGGCCATTTAGCTCAGTCGGGTACAATGAAGACGAAATCACTGGTTTCAAAGTATTCTCTCCTTCAAGGGAGAACTGATAGTTAGGATTTGGACATGAGGTAATGAGGAGAAAGAACATTTCAGGGAGTGGGGAGCAACATGGACAAAGGCATGGTCTATGTAAACCCAGCCCAGCCCTACTCTGAGCTGAGAAAAGGAAGAGTAAACCCAGCCCTTCCCTGAAGAAGCTTCCCAGCAGTTGTTTCGAAACAGTTCTGGGGCACGTCCTCACATGGGGTGAGCGTCCTACTGAGTGTGAGTTCTGGTTGCAGGCCTGCACGACCTGCTGCACCCAGACCTGACCCTGGCCAGCAACTGGTAAGTGGAGAAGTCAATGCACTTGAGGAAGAGAAGGCGGCAGGGAGGGAGGAAGAGGGGCAGGATTTTCTGAGGTAACTTTGACTCCTCTGGATTCCAGGATCTACTGTATCACGGATATCGACCCCGACCACCGGAAGCTCAGCCAGCGGGAGGCTATGGTCCGCTTTCTGACAGGGGAGGACCCAGACCTGGAGTGTGCGTGTTGCCTGCCCATGAGGGCTTCCCTCTGGGATCCTGCAGCTCAGGACTTTGCAGGAAGGGAGGCCTGGGGCTAGGGGAGGGCTGCCAGGTAGCTCTTTCCAGGGAACTCACTGATGGCCTAGGAGGACAGGGAGACTTCCCAAGACAAAGCAGAGACAGCCTGATGATTAAGTGCTCCTGGAACGGGGCACATGAGCACATCCCCATGTCAGGGACTAGGATCTCTGCAAACCTCCTTCACCTGAGCACTGTAAGGCTCCGAAGGGACACTCCCACAGTGTAAAGGCATCCGCCTAGCCATCAGATCTGTCTCCCCACCACCTAGCAGTGGGCCTGGGCCAGCAGCTGACACTCCGTCCTCGTCTCTGCAGAGGAGAGCATTTGACCAGACAGCCTCTCACAGCCTGTGTCTGTGAGTGTTTTCTAGCACCTGGTTCTCAGATTAACCTTAAGTTCCCCTCCACTAACTCAACTGTGAAAATACACACCCTCAACATGGTACTTTCTCTTCGGAAGAAGGAGCAGGTCATTTTGTTACATGTCACCAGCAAGAGAAGACTCCACTTTCTATGAGTCCCAACATTCATTCCATGAACAATCTGTACTGAGCATGTCCTCTGTGCCAGGCCTGGAGCAGGCACTGAAGCTAGAAATGCCCCAACCAGGCAAGGCCCTTGCTCTCAGGGAGCTCATAATCTCGTGGGGAAACCACGTGATGAAGAAGCAAGCCTGCGTGTGTAGGTGTAGGTTGTTACAGACTGTGCTGTACAGGAAAAGATGGGGCCTGCTGCAAACAAGGGGTCCGGGAGGGCCACCTCTGTCAGCCAGTGTCACTTACCACCCAAGTGGTTCATGGGTACAGGGTGATGGTGGTGATGAAAATGTTGTGGAGCTAGACAGATGTGATGGCTGCACATCATTGTGAGTGCACAACGTGCCACTGAATTGCATACTTTAAATTGGTTGAGTTTATGTTACATGAATTCCGCCGCCATAAAAGTAAATAGCAAAGAGAGTGAGGAAAAAGAGAGACACCATGAAAGAGCATCCTGGCCAAGGGAAGAGCCTATGTGGAGGCCCTCAGCAAATCCAAATTCACAGAACTGCCGAGGCCAGCGAGTGTGAGGGCGATGGCCAAGGAGCAGGGGGATGGGAGTTGAGATGGAGGGCGGGCTGCGCACCAACGAAGTCTGATGTTGCTGAGGGATTCTATAATTTCACAGAACATTAGAACTGGGAAGAGCCTTAGTGGTCGTTTGGTTCTACTCACATGTTGTCTGGGGTTGAGGAAATGAAGGCTGGGAGAGGTGCAGCGACTTCCTCAAATTCACGTAGGTAATTTTACACGCTCCGGACACATGTTTATGAGGCACATCTTGTTCCTTGAAGGTCAGGATTTTCAAAAGGGCAGGTGAGCTGTGCTTATAATCATGGGGGAAATAAGTACATTGGTCTCCTTTGATTTTGCAACCAGGTGACGAGGAGCTGGTGCGGGAGGTACTGTTTGATGCCGTGGTGACAGCACCCATGGAAGCCTACTGGACAGCGCTGGCTCTCAATGCCTCTGAGTATGTACAGGCTGGGGCTGAGGGCTCCCACAAGGGAAAGAGGTCCTGGCCTCTGCATTCCCTTGGCTGAGTCAGGGTCCCCCCTCCCCCACCACGAGCTGGCTGGCAGCTTAGGAGATCATCCAAGTCCTTTGGCCTACGATGAACTGTGATGAGGGTGGGAAGACAGGGAGACAGGGAGAGTGAGAGCAACATTCACACAGTCCCAGGTTATGTGGGGGCTTTACAGAGCTTCCGCACACCACACACCCCTCGGGAGAAACACCCTGAGCAGGTCCCCGACACAGAACCAAACCCCCCAGCCCACACTGCAGAAGTCCCATTCTAAGAACCCCTGTCTCAGGGTTGGGCTCTCACTGTGAGAACCCACCACCAGAGTGCCCTGAGGGAGCAGGTCAGCAGATCAGTGCCTTGTCTCCAGGAGCTGAGGTCAAGACACCATGAAGTACAAATTTCACCTCCGTGTGTCCCAGCGCCTGGTGCTATTGTGCTTAGCAGACAGATAGAAAGAAGAGATGAACGGTTTGAGTGTGTGTTTGGGGGGGGGGTGGTATGTGTATGTGCATTTGCACGCACATGTGTGTTCAGGTGTATGTAAGAGCACATGAGTGTTGGGAGGGGGTAAGATAAGAGGTTAAAAACAGAGTGGGGCCCTGGCAGGGTGGCTCAGTTAGTTGGAACAATGACCTGTAAACCAAAAGGTTGCAGGTTTGATTACCTGTCAGGGCACCTACCTAGGTTGTGGAGTTGGATCCCCTGGTCCAGGGCGTAAGGGAGGCAGCCAATCAATGTATCTCTCATACATCCATGTTTCACTCTCTCTCTTTCTCTCTCTCTCTCTCTCTCTCTCTCTCTCTCTCTCCCTCCTGCCTCTCTCTCTAAAAAACAATAAAAACATATCCTCAGGTGGGCCATACCCTGTTCCTGAATAGGAATGAAAATGTCCAATCTCCCTAGACTCTTGATATATTACTTAATACTACCCTACTGTAAATACTGACATAATTGTTATATACCAATAACAAACTATTGAAAAGACAAATTAAGAGACAATCCCATTTATAGTTGCATCAAAAAGAACAAAATACTTAGGAACAAATTTAACCAAAGAGGTAAAAGGCCTGCACTCAGAAAACTATATAGTGCTCATGGATTGGAAGAACTAATATCTTTAAACTGTCCATATTACCCAAAACAATCTACAGATTCAATGCAGTTCCTATCAGAATACCAATGATATTTTTCACGAAACTAGAACAAATAATACTAAAGTTTATTATGGAACCACAAAAGACCCTGAATAGATTCAGCAATACTGAGAAAGAAGAACAAAGTTGGAGGTATCACACTACCCAGTATCAAACTATACTACAAGGTTATAGTAATCAAAACATCATGGTACTGGCATAAAAACAGACTCATAAATTAATGGAACAGAATAGAGAGTCTAGAAATAAATTCACACATATATAGTTAATTAGTCTATGATAAAGGAAGCATGAATATACTAGTACAATGGTATAAAGACAGTCTCTTCAATAAATGATGTTGGGAAATCAGGACAGATACATTACAAAAAAATTAAACGAGGCCACTTTCTTACACCATATAAAAAAATAAGCTCAAAGTGGATTAAAGACTTAAATGCAAGACTTGAAATCATAAAACTCCTAGAAGAAAACATAGGCAATATTCTGTAATATTTTTTAATATGTTTCCTAGGCCAAAGACAAAACAAAAATAAATGAATGGGACTTACATTAAACTAAAAGGCTTTTGCAGTACAAAGGAAAACATTAAAAAAAAGAGACAGCCTACTGAATGAAAGAAGATATTTGCAAATGAAATATCTAATAAGGAGTTGATATCCAAAATGTATAACAAACTCAAACAGCTCAACATAAAAAAAAAATAAAGACCCAAACAATCCAATTAAAATATAGGCAAAGGCCCTAACCGGTTTGGCTCAGTGGATAGAGCATCAGCCTGTGGGCTGAAAGGTCCCAGGTTCAATTCTGGTCAAGGGCATGTACCTTGGTTGCGGGCACATCCCCAGTAGGAGGTGTGCAGGAGGCAGCTGAAACAAACATCGATGTTTCTAACTCTCTATCCCTCTCCCTTCCTCTCTGTAAAAAATCAACAAAATATATTTTTAAAAAACCACACATAGGCAAAGGACATGAATTTCTCCAAAGAGGATATACAGATGGCCAACTGCACATGAAAAGATGCTCAACATCACTAATCATCAGAGAAATGCAAATCAAAACTATAATGAATACTACCGCACACCTGTCAGAATGGCTGTTATCAATAAATCAACAACAACAAGTGTTGTCAAGGATATGGATAAAAGGGAACCCTGGTGCACTATTGGCAAGATTGCAAACTGGTGCAGCAATCAATATGGAACTTCCTCAAAAAATTAAAAATGGAACTATCATATGACCCAACAATTCCACTTCTGGATATTTATCCAAAGAAATTGAAAACACTAATTCTAAAAGATGTATACATCCATATATTTATTGCAGCATTTTTTAAAACAATCTGAATGATATTTTATCTTGCATGATTATACAGTATGAATAATTAGCTCACAATCCAAGATAGTTTTATCATTTTTGTTCTTCAAAATGGTGTTAGTGTTATAGGGCAAAAACAATTACATTTAATTTAACAAAATCAAGAATGATATATTTGACTTGGAGAGTGGCACCCCGCAGATTACACAGTGGCTCCAAGCAAGCCATTCCTCCACCTCTCCCAGCAAAGGAAATCAAGAGCTAAAAATACCCAGAACACTCAAATGGCACCTAACACACTTTTATGTAAAGGTCAAGCTTGTAAATTATTCACCCACGATGCTCAAAAGTGAGAGAACTGAATAGAAAGCTAAAATCTGGAGAATCCTCATTTCCTCCTCTTTGTGGAATACAGTTTTTCTTCAAGTGGGACTGGGACAATCCCTTCACACTCCTTTACTTCCTGGGGCAGGGGTGTTTTACAATATTAAGTCTGATTACATCAATGTCTTGAGACATGTGCTCCATCATGCTTTCAACAGTTGTTGTTGGTGCATAAAAATCCACCAAGAAATACCTTCCTCTGTTGTGCCACTGGCTGTGGACAGAGATCCGATAGGGAAATGCCCACTCCCCCAGATTTTCCAAGTTCCTCACGATCGCTCCCATCCATCAGGGCTTCTATTGTCCACTTCAATGCAGCAGCAGTCTCGAGCCATTATTGCAGCATTATTTATAACTAGAGGCCCATTGCATGAAATTCATGCACTGGTAGGGTCCCTAGCAGTTGCTGGCTGCTTCCTCCCTTCCCCCTGCCGGCCCCACCCCCTGGTCAAACTCCCGGATGAACTCCCAGTTGAGGGGACAATTTGCATACTACACTTTTATTATATAGGATAGTCGAGATATGGAAGCAATCTAGGTGTCCATTTATAGACTAATGGATAAAAAAAGATGTGGTACATATATACAATGGAATATTATTCAGCCATAAAAAAGAATGAAAACTTGCCATTTGTGACAACATGATGGACCTAGAAGGTATTATGCCAAGTGAAATAAGTCAGACAGAGAAAGACAAATACCATATGATTTCACTTATATGTAGGCCCTAAAAAATAAACAAAATGAAAATAAACTAATAGATACAGAGAACAAACTGATGGTTGGCAGATAGGAGGGCAAATAGAGGGATGGGCAAAAGAAGTAAAAGGAATTAAGTACAAATTGCCAGTTATGAAAATAGTCATGAGGATGTAAAGTACAGCATAGGAAATATAGTCAGTAGCATTGTGATAACTATACATGGTGCCAGATGAGTACTAGACTTATCGTGGGTACTAGACTTATATAATTCATGTGGTATGTGAATGCCAAATCACTATGTTGTATATCTGAAGCTAACATAGTATACCAAATATAATTGAAAAATAAATTTAAAATAAACATTTGAGCGAGGAAAATGAGAAATATTTCTATATACTCTTATGGAATGATCTTAGCAATACCCCCACTGTTTACCTAAAACAGGGAAATGCAAATATATTTTCATAGTTATATACATTTATATACATATTTGTATGTATGTACATATATATATTTTTTAATTGAACAAAAAACAAGTCAAGAAAAAATATTACTTATAGGAAAAGTGAAAGAACAGGGGGATAGAGACAGAGACAAACTCTTCTGAATATGCCTTATTTTCCATATTTGACTTTGGAACTGTGTGAATGCTTTATATCATTATAAAACAAAATTAAATTTTAAAATATAAGCTATAAAAATTGAAAGCAAAGAAAATAAACTTAGCTGTGAATCAAATTCCTGAAATACCAGGTGTCAGCCACTGCAGGATGGTGGAGCAGGTGAACCAGGATGCCAGACCAAGGCAGGGCGCCAGTCGCTGTCATTGGGACGAGCCTCTGGTGGTTACTGAAAATTCTTTGTTCATGCGTGCCACAGTCCCACCCACTGCTCGCACCCTGTGCTGGTGCCCGATGCTGGCCCAGATTGCTCGGTGCCATCAGCGAGTGCGAGCATCGGCTGCTGGCCCCAATCACCTCTAGGGCTTCTCCACCTTCCCCTGTTCCTGAGGGGTGATCAGGGCAGGCAGCTGCCTCGCACCGGCTGCTGGCGACAGCCCCACTCACTCGCATCTGCCGTCAGCAGGGCCAGTGCCGTCAGCGCCTGGGAGTGGCGGCAGCAGGAGCAGGGCTGCTGGCAGACAGGGGACAGGGACCACAGCAGGAGGGGTTAGGTGGGGGCACTGAGGATGGGCAGAGACTCACCCCTGTGCCCACCGCAGCCTCTCAGCCCACAGTTCCTTTCAAGGTGCACGAATTTCTGCACTGGGCCCCTAGTATTACATATATTGTAGAAGAAGCAGCAAAGGCTTCACAGCATGAAAAAGGAGATGTATTCAGTGATTCAGGACCAGGGTCTATACCAGCGGTTCTCAACCTGTGGGTCGCG